TCGGTCTTTTTTCGCATATTTTAGCTTTTATGGTCATTGACATAGAAAAATACGGGGGAAAGTGATGATTTTAAATTAAGTTTTGTTAAAATTTAAAAGAAAACCGACTTTACCAGACGCAGGGAAAAGACTTGCTAATTTTCAAACAGCACAAAACATCGCACTTCGCCACAGGCCAAGGTCGAGTCGTGAAATTTACCAACTGCAAATCCTTTAAGAGGGAAGAAAAGCGCGAGACACGAAATTCTTAACCAACTTTTCGGGAGAATAACTGAATTTTAAATTCTTAAACCTTAATTTCTTAGTCTTTTTTCTCTTTTTCAGCCTTCTTTGTCATCACTAAATATGTTAGACTTATAGAGATGAAGATGTTGAACGTATTTAATTTTAATTATTTAAGGTTCTCATTCATTCTTTTATTTAATTTATGATATATTTCTTCTCATTGCTTTCAAAATAAATCTTGATGTTCTTAATTGCAAATGATTTACCAGGCAACAAGAGCTTCAGTCCGCTTTTGAGTTTATTTTTTAAATTCTGTTGTCAAATTTTTTGTTGCAGCGTTTAGTTCTTGAGCATTGAAAAATTTTTAATTTGAGTTCAAATTTTATGTTCACCACTTTAACTGAAATTTCTTAAAACGCTTTAAATTAAGTTTTATCCAGTGATTCTTTCATCCTCAACCGCGGAGCGATGCATCGGCCTTTTGTCTGAAGAGCCGACGATGTAAGTTTTAATAGCTTGATTTCACAAGCTTGCGTCACGCTTGGCCTCTCCACTTGGAGATAGCCGGAGAATTAAAATTAACTAAATAAAACGTCCAAGGAAAACTGCCCTGGCCCCAAAACATACTGACCCTTTGGCTGAGAGGAGGATGGACAGCTCGGACGGGCAAGAGATAAGGACGGACACGAGGAGGACTCTGGATTGAGCGTGTTCGCAGGCTCGCGGGTTGTTCGTCTCTGAGGGTGAGAGAGCAGGTGAGCAGGTGCTCACAGTTTTGTCAGGATCGTCGCTGCTCCTGATTGGCCGAGACGCTCGGCTGAGCTTGGGGCGAGCGACGATCTGATTGGTCGCTTCTCTGCTTCGATGTGGCAACCTCGGCAGGAGCCGCTTGTGCGGCGCTCTGGAATGCGAAACAAGAGGCAGAAACTTGCTTAGCAACAGGGAAAAGTGAACTTTGTTCTCTCCTTTTGTGGCTTTTGCCAACGCGCTCCCCAACTCATTTCACCATCAAGTTCAATAATCCGCGTGAAACAGAATAAATTCGATGAAATTTGCCTGTTTTCGTTTTTTCTGACTCAAAATTTTGGCCTTAATTCTCTCATTATCAACGGGAAATGGCTTTAAGGCATTGTTAATTAATTATTTGATGAATAAAATCATTATGAATGCCATCAGAGACTTTAGAGAGCACCAAAAGTCAAACTTAAGTGTTCATTTATTGTCTTGCATTTCATTTTTTTGGATCATTTCAATGGCAAGATTGGCAAGTAATCGTTTTAGAATATTTTGAAATCTAAATTTATAAATTGGGTGATTATTCGCAGTATTTGCAATTAATAACCAACAAAACCTAAAAAAATATCCAGCGAGACTCTTAAAGTTGAACAGAACTTTTATGTATACATTTTAAAATAAAAATAAATATTTTATGATGGTACGAGCGTTGCTTTCAATACAAAAATCCTCAATTCACTATCTGCTTAGACGCGAAGTTTTAATGTAAAAATTTGCTTCTCTCTGCTCAGCAGACTCAGCACAAGCTCTTTGTGGGCGCGCTGGAATGCGAGGCAAGCAGCAAACCCTGGCTAGCAACAGGGAAAAGTGAACTTTGTTCTCTCCTTTTGTGCCTTTTGCCAACGCGCTTCTAGACTTATTTTAACATCAAGTCCAATAATCCAAGTGTAGCAAATAAATTGGATCAAATTATGCCTATTTTCCGGCTCACTCAAAAATAATTTGAAATGAATTTCAGGCCTTTTTAATTAAAAATCTCTTGAATAAAATAAATAGAAATACCCGAAGAGACTGTAGAGAGCACCAACAATGCTAAGATAGTGTTGATTTCATGTCTTGCGTTTTGGTAAAATTCAATGGCAATAGCTTTTTTGAAAAACTAAGTTATCTTAAATGTTAAATTGGGTGATTATTTGCAATTAATTACCCACAAAACTTTCTTTTTGCAAAAAACCCGGCGGAAAAGAAGTTTTGCGGAGTCAGTCGATTCATAAATAATCAGCTTCCATATTGTTGTGAGGAAGGAATAATCTCATGTCAAGACTGTCGAGAGTCAAGTCAGGCCTCCGAGCAAATTTAAATTCGGCTGAAGTTCATCTTGTTCTCATCTTTTTGCTGCCCTACTCTTTGTTACAAGTGTTTTGAATCTATCCTTCCAGATTAAGCCTACTTTACAAAAGGTTTATTTTTTATGCGCCCTGGGAAAGAGCCCAGACCCCCTATCAGGGTCTTCCTAGGCTCAAAGGTTGTCAATATATACCCAAAAAAAATATCTCCGGCGAGACTCTAAACGCTGAGAACTTTTATCCATTTTATTAGATAAATAAACATTTAATGATGGCAAGCTGCTTTCGATACAAAAACGGGCACAAGCCGCTTATGCAGCGCTCTGGATTGCGAAGCAAGCAGCAAAATCTGGCTAGCAACAGAGGGAAAAGTGAACTTTGTTCCCTCCTTTTGATACTTTTGCCCATCTTATTTCTATCTTTTTCCGACTTATTTCACCATCACCAAGTTCAATAATTCGTCTTTAGCGGAATAAAATCGTTGAATTTTAGCCTTTTCTCAGCTCAAAATTAAGAAAAACAACTTTAGAGAGCACCAAAATGCTGTTAATTTCATGTCACGCTTCATTTTAATCTTTGGTACAATTCAGTAGCAATCGCTTTTTTGAAAAAGTACATATTTTATATGTCAAAATTTGGTGATTGTTCGCAGTAATTGGAATTTATTATACACACAAAAACCTTCATTTTGCAAAAAGGCTGGCAGAGAAGACGCGTTTTACGGAGTCGGTGGATTCAAAAAAGATCAGCATGGCGTGAATGCTCAAAAAACGTTGTTGTGAGGAATGAATATTCTCATGTCGAGAGCGGAGCAGACTATTGTTGTGTACTAGTAAAATTCTTAATCTGATTCAAGCAACAATGACTTTTGTCAGAGAAATTCACCAACAATGTACCAAAGCAAACCTCAACAATGCAAACACAAAGATTTCAAGTATTTTTTTGCTTACAAACCAGACGTTGGATAAAAAAGTATAAAATGATGAAAAAAAAAATACTTATTTTAATTTCCATTTCATACTTTCAAAGTTTTGGTTTTCTCATCCATGAGCTAAATGCTTTGGTAGCAAAATTATACAGTTGAGGATTTCATAGATTGGCAATGGTAACATCAATTAATGCGGAGATATAATTTAATTTTCAAAAAAAAAATTCCAAAATTTTTTAAAGTAGATCGCATTTCAATTAGGATTTTAAAATCCTCTTTTTTTTTAATTTAACTGTTTGAATTTAAATATAGAATTTCATAACAATTTTGAAGTAAAGTTAATATTCTAGATACATATTTTCTTAAATAAAAGATCACTTAAGATGAGAATTGCACAATATTCAAGTGGTTTCGATTATTAAATCTTTTCACCAAAATCGGTGATAGTGGCGGACTTTTCAATCTGAGATATGATTTTATGAAGTTTAGTGAAGAATCAAGCATATTATACAGATTTTTTAATGAAACCAGACGTTGGTGGATGCAAATTAAATCAAATTTCTTTGGCACTGCTTTCCGATTATGCTATGCTTTCCATATTATTATTAACTATAATTCAGTCCGTAAATATTCACGAAAGTGTCAAAAGTTCTACATCAAGACCGCTAGCTAATTTTCCTGCGGGGGCTCCTTGTGATGTAAAGAAGAATAGCCGAAGAAAATTGAGCTTGAGTGCTCAACGAGCAAAGAAGAACGAGGTGAAAATTGGTGCAAATTCAGCTTTTAGTCTCATATCTATATTATAAACAGTCTAGGAATCAAAAGCCCGGAAAAATTCATACCGCAATCTGAAATTTTCACCATTTGAGACTCATTTCCGGCTTATCTTTCGGAAGAGCTCCTCTGAGGGAGGCAGGAAAATTACTTGATGTGCTCACAATAGACTTTAACAAGACGAAGAGCTGCGAAAATAAAATGCAAATCGGGACTTGACTTTCATGATCTTATCGAGTGACAAATTCTTGAAAGAAAAGCAGCGCTTTAATAGTAAAGTTTTTTTCCCCAGAAATAAAGATTAAAACCTATTATTTCCATTTCCAAAAACCAAAATAAATTTTTATTATAATGAAAGGTGACATAACAATTAAATATTTGAATAATGATGAAAATAAATAAGCAATCTGGACATTTAAATTCTTTCTTTCCTGAAAGGCCATATTTCATTTAGATTATTTTGGCCTTTTGCAAACCTAGCAATTTTACTCCTTTGCGAACTTCTTTGCCTCCATCCACGCCATTTTCAGCTCCAATGCCCACGCCGGAGAAATTTTGAATCGAGTCCCGTAATTTATGCCGAATTGTGAGAGAGAGCCATGAGGCTAATTTCCGAGTTTCAATTCGCGCCGGCGACAGATTAGGTTTTCCATTTTACACCCTTTTTTACTTTCAAGTCTGCAGCGGATGGACTAATTAAGCAATAATCTTTTACATTTCGTACGGATTAGGCAGGGTCGGATTTTATGTCTCTGCTCGTTGTCGTTAGCCAATTGCAGGAGTAATATCAGCTTTTAAGACCATTCATTGGAATTCTCAGGACAATTATCAAGAGAACTGCAAATTTTAAAATTGAAAAGAATCAGCGGAATTGAAACGCAGTAAATTAATGGGTGAATTTCCTCTAAATGAGAGAGTTTCTTTGGCAAAGGAACTAATAAAATGGTCACATTGTTACTTTGACAATTGAATAGAACCTAAAATGTACTCACCAAAATCGACCAAGTTGTCCAACCTTGAAGTCAGCAACCATCTCACCTCCAAGGTGGGAGCTCTGCCGGTTCCAAGGGCCAGCCTCAGGCAACTGAGGAAATCCTGAAAGAAAAGTAAAGTCATGAGTGTGAACGCAGCAGGGACATGACATGGCGAGGAACTGCCCAAGCGTGCCTTGCCAGCCGAGTTTGAGGAAAGGACGCCTCTTCAGGGTCAGTGCCTCGGACGAAGGAGCACATTTTGCTCAGTCCGAGGGCAACTGGCCCAGAGATGTTCGATCCAGAAAGCTTCGAGAGGCAACAATGGTGCAGCCTCACGACTCACCTTTCTCAGTCCTTCGTCCAGCATTCTCGGACGGAAACCAGAGAAAAGGCTCGGACGCCAACCTCTCAAGCAAGAAAAGACAAGTCCGTGAAAATCTTCTTATTAAGCTGAGCAAGAGAAAGTCTGAAAGTAAAATAAGTGAAACATTTTTTAAGTTTAAAAAGGCAAGAAGGTAAAATTAAATTCATAGAATAAGGAAGTGAATGTAAAGGAAATTTAAAATTAATTGCGTTTTGTGATACACGAGCCAGAGCCAAAGCAAAATTTAAAATTCTCCATTAACAGAGAGAGAGAGAGGGAGTTCAGATTCAGATAAAAATGTCTCTGAAAAGAGTTTGATTTTAGAAAGGAAAACTAGAGAAAGATTTGAGAATTAATTGTCTCTGCAAATTGTGTGTTCTCTAATTTTAATTTGGGAAAATGAATGATTTTAATCAGATCTAAGCACGAAGAACTTAATATTTTGCAAGCACAAGGTATGAGAGAATTTAAAACTAGCGAGATTTGTTTATTGAAGTTTTTTTTTAGTGATACGAATGCTTGCAAATCGTCAAACCTCAATTGAAAGCTTGTGCTTCAAAATGCTAGTCAAGTGTCAGAATTTTACAATAATTAAAGGTGGGAATAGTTCAAGCTCACCTCCAACAATCGTCGGCACTGTCGGCAAGCGAAATCACGCCGAAAATCGAAAATCAAGGTCGAATTCATCGCCGAGTGCAGTTTCGTTTTGTTTTCGTTTCGCAACCTTCCTCCTCCCACCACCGCACCGATGTTTGCTTTTGCTGCCGCCAGGGGTCCTTTGAATTTGGCGCCGCTGTGAGCGCCAATCGGAAGAAGCCACAAGCTTGCAGCCGCGCTCCGATTGGCCGGTTCAGGCCCCCCTTGCATTTCATTGGCTTACGAATATCACGTGCAATCGTTCAAGGAGCTCCATGCAGTCGCAGAGCAGAAAGAGTTTGAACAGGTTGAAACACGACCGAAACGGAGTGAGAAAAAGACAAAACGCACCCTACTTGCGCGAAATTTCCAGATTCCAGAATCGCTCCAAAATCGCATTAACCGCGTCTTTCTTATCTCGAATCAGTCGAATCACTTGCTAAGTTTCTGCACTTTTGAGAGCGGAAATGGCGATCGTCGGCAAGGCGGTGAGCATTTGGGCCGAGAGCAGCGGCGACGAGGAGGAGGACGACGGCGAGGTGGTGCGGCAGACGACGCCCGCCGGCAACCCGTTCCTGAACGGGCGTCCGGGCTTCGCGCCCTTCCAGCTGTACGGCCGCCGCAAGCGTGGCCGTCCGAGCGGCCGCGAGTGTCTGGTGCCGGTGGCCGAGCAGACGCCGGCCAAGCAGGGGCCCAACAAGGCCCCGCGGCCGCCGGGGGTCGAGGTGCGCCGCTTCCTCGACGAGCTGCGCAACTTCACCGTGCCCGCCGCCGCGGACACGAAGCCTCGCAAGGGCCGCCGACTGCGCTTCGACTGTCCCAAGGGCAGGGACTTTGACCCGCCCAGAGAACAACACCAGGACGACGACGACCCCTTCCGTCCGAGTCTGTTCGACTTTGTCCGCATGGACCGCGAGTGGAAAGACCCTGCCACCATCTTCGACAAGCACGACCCGCCCAAGTCCGCGAGGGGCAGGCCCAGGACTCGTCCTGCCAAACTTCCAGGTTCGAATAATTACGAAAAAAAAGTTTTTTTTTTCAATATAATTAAATTTAACAGGCAAGGGACGCGGAAGGCCCCGCAAAGTAGTGCAGACTGAGGAGGCTCCGAAGGAAAAACGGCCGAAAGGGCGGCCAAGAATGTCTCCGAGGGAAGAGCAGCCCTTTGACCCTGCCATGATCTTCAGCTTCGAGGACGGAGAAGCCAACGAGGAAGATATCGAGGTTTTTTTACACAATTAGCTTCTCGATCCTTATATAATTTTGAATAAAATGTGCAGAAAATGATCTCGAAGGGCATGCTGGTGATCAATGCCAATGCCAGGAAGTTCTTGGAAGGGTTGAAGGCGCCAGGGCGTCCTCAAATCCACCCTGTCAAGCCAAAGGTGGCCGGAAGGAAGCTGGGCCGACCCAGAATCCACCCTTTCAAGATGAAGGTGCCGGGCAGGATGAGAGGTCGGCCTAGGGTGCACCCTCCGAAGGAGAAGGTTCCTGGCAGGGTCAGGGGCAGACCCAGGGTCCATCCTCCGAGGGAAAAGGTGCCTGGAAGGGCCAGGGGCAGACCCAGAATCCATCCTGCCAAAGAAAAGGTGGAGGGGAGGCCGCGCGGAAGGCCCAGGGTGCACCCTTCAAAGGTCAAGGTCCCTGGAAGACCGAGGGGAAGACCTAGGGTGCGCCCTGTCAAGGAAAAGGTGGCTGGCAGGAAGAGGGGCAGACCTGCCAAGACGAAGGTCGTCGTGGCCACTCAGGTTGAACCCATTGAGAAAGGTGGTCAGGTGGACAACCTGCCGAAAGTTGAGAAGGTTGCCAAGAAGAGAGGTCGCAAAAGGAAGGGTCAACAACCTGAGACTCTTTGCAGTGACCTTCTTGCCTTAAAAAAGTGCAAACCTTACTTCGAAGGGGAGAACAAACTGCTAGTGAAGGTAAAGAATTTAGGTTTGGTTAATTTAATGCGACTTTTTTTAATAATTTGTTTGTTTAATCAGATTAAAGGTGCTGGCAAGAAGAGGGGCAGGAAGTCAAAGGTCACCGCCGAGTCAACATAAGAAACCAGAAATTAGAAGTGGAAATAGCAGAAAAATATCCTCATCTTCAAGTTTATAACTTTTTAAATCTCATATTCTGCAGAATTGGATCCTCCGTCGATCTTTAAATTTGGACTAGCACAAGGAATTGAAACATAATTTTTACAGCAACTCTCTACATAACCTTTTGACATTTTATTTGTTTTAAAAATGTAGATTTCTGTGGAGCAATGAGGAAATTTGGAACTATTTTATCTGCGGACATTTTCAATAAAAACTTTTGTAAAAAAGTGCACTTTTAATTTGCAGAAATCGAGCTTTCGATCGAGACTGGTTCATTTTGCATCTGCTTGTCTTGTGGAGTTTTGGAAATTTGGAACGACTAAAAGCTGCAAAGGATATCATTTGGGAAAACATGAGTCCAGATTAATGTCGTCAGGATTTTCATAATAAGAAAAATAGTTGAATCTAAAATCTAATCAAAGGTATAAAAGTGGCTGTACCTGAGAAGAGGGGCGGACGAATGATAAATTTTTTCTTCGCCTTCAGCGTATCTTTTTAGTTCTCTACCATCTTTTCTACATGAATTTGAGTCGAGCAAAATTTAAACTTGCTGCCAGTATAGGCCGATTTAGGTCACTTTTGTGGAGACATCACCAGTGGAAATATGAATTTTGCCTATTTATTGAACACTTGGATTTAAATGAGCTCAAAAATGAATGCAAGCCGTGAAACTGCTAACGAAAGTGGCAGTAAAATTTGCTAATTTAACAGGAAATCAATTACATATTAAAATTTTTTACCAAATACCATGTCAATCCTTCCAAAAGAAATAATGGAAATTCTTCAAATAATTTAACTAAGATTTGAATTTAGGTTACCATATTGATTGCAGATCAAAAGGCTTGTAAAATGTTACTAACAGTAATTTTTTTTATCAAAATTGACTTGATTTATTGAAACTAATCTTTTTAACAAATAATTTGTGATTTGTTTTTCTAACGTTAAAATAAAATAAGCATTCAATTAAGTTAGATTTGCGAAAAAAATGGAATCTATTCATATTTTTTTATTATAAAAATGGCACTGCAGAAAACGTCGAATTCTTTTTTTTAATTACAACCATAAAATTTTATTTTGATTTAATTTACAAATTCCGTTCAATTGGATCTCATTTGGGCATTTTTGAGTATCTGATTGTGTCTGGCGATGAGGTCGGTGGCCTTTTGCACGAGGGGTTGGAAGTTGTTTTGCAGGTGGTGGGCCGCGACGTACTCGGCGAGCGCGTGGTTGTTTTGCGCCGCCTGGGCCCACTTGTGCTGCACGTGGCTCAGCTGCGTCCACACGTCGTTCTCGGCCAACGCCTTCTGCGAATCCAATCGAAATTATTTAATTCGAATTAAAGGAAAAAGCGAGACCGCACCTGCAGGGCGTTCAAGTGGGCGTGCGCGTCCCTCAGGTGTTGCTGCCGCTGGCGCAGGTCGCGCTCGACCTGCGACCTTCGCGCCTCCACCTTCCGCCGCCGCTCCTCCTCGCCGGCCCGCAGCCCGGCCACGTCCGAAAACTTCTCCTTCTCCGCCTCCATGTCAAGCAATTTCGTCCGGATCGTCTCCGTTTCCTTCGCCACCTTTTCCTCCAGCTCCAGAACCTGCGAATTAAAATAAAGATTAATTTATAAATTGACGATTTAATTCAACTCAAGTGCAAAAATATACCTTTTTTTTAAATTAATGACTTAAAATCGCTATTTTACGGAAATACTAATAAAATTTACAACTTAATTTTACCTAATGCGATGCCATTTTGATTAAAATTAATAAGACTGAAATAATAATGAAAAATTTATCTTTTGAAGGTTAATTTCTTTTGTTAACGTAACGAATTTAACAGTTTCTTTTAAATTTCAGATCTTTTTCAGAAACGTTTTTGCAATGTTATAAATATTATTATTTGCTGATTTTTTTAAATAAATTTGGCATAAATCATAAACTTTATTGTAAACATGAAGCACATACTTTTAATTCTGATGATTGGGATATTTTTGGCTTCATTGAGAATATTATATTAAAAATTCGTCAAAATTTGATATCTTTTTTTAATTTGAATAATTGATTTAATAATAGATAATTGAACCGCTAGATTGCATTTATAATATTTATTTTGGCTTTTGTGCGCAAAATTTTCATTTCAATTAAGAGCCCGAAATGTTCTTGGAAGCATTTTTTTTTATCATTTTTGTATTAAAAAAAGAGCAGAAATAATTGAAATAATTGAACAGGAAAATAAAACTATTTTTAAGCATTATCAAAATTACATACACAAAAAAAACCACCCATTTTTCACCCTTTTGAATAAAAAATTAAGAAAAAATTTGCAAATTACTGACCCTGGTCATTTGGGCCTTGAGATGCGCCTCCTGCTGGCCGAGACCCTGCGTTGTGAACTTGGCCTTCTCCACCTCACCCTCCTTCATCCCCAACTGCTCCTTCAACTCTCCGTACGCCTCAACACTATAAAATTTAATTCTATTGAATTTCCAATTATGCCTTTTATATAAATTTTGAAATCACTTTGAAGATTAATAAAAATTCTTTAGAACAAAAGTTTTTGAAATCGAATAGTGTGAGAGAAATTTGAACTTTTTTCAGAAAACTAATTGAAAAAAAAAACTTTAATTATATTTGGTCTAATTTCTTGTTGATCCTGGCGTTAAAATCACCGCCGGACGAATTATATAAAAAAGAAGTTGTCAGACCTGGGCAGGTTGTGGGCCTTGACGAGGAGGGCCGCGTACTTGGCGAGGGCGGCGCCGACCTCGTGCTCCAGCTCGGAGCGTCGCGCCTCCTCCTGCTGCTTGGCCACCTCGAAGCCGGCCAGGAAGTCCTCGATGGCCGCCTCCTTCCGCTTCATCTCCGAGTACTGCGACGTCCGCTCGCTGCTGTTTTGCTCCAGCGCCTGCAACCGCAAAAAAAAATTTCATCAAAATAAAATTATAAAGCAAAGTAGTCCATTATTTTCAAAAATTATTTGTTACTTAAATTCTTAAATTGAATGGTAACACTCGAGGTGGATTTCATGAAAAATTGAAACCGGGCGAACCTCGTTGCAAAGAAAAAATGAAAAAATAAAGGACAACTGACCCCAAAGGCGACCTGCGGTCTGCTGGTACTTTAAAACCTAGGATTTCTTGTGTCCGACTAAAACTAAGTGGGAGGAATTAATAAAAAGTAAAAATAAAATGGGAGAATTTAATTTTAATAAACAAAAATTGCAGAAATTAATTAAGCAAAAGAGTCAGTCAACACCTCGCTCGGGTATAAAACCCCGCAGCAGCCACCGTTCAGCATCAGTCTCTCGGACTTCTCCGAAAGGAGAGGACCGGCACTCAGGTTAGCTGATGAGGCCTGGATTGGCCGAAACAGCTGTCCTAACCAGTAGTGCGGCAGAATACTGTGATTTTGCCAGAAAAGTCTTTGGGTTCATTGCCCTGGAAATTTCTGCCAAAATCACAGTATGAAGCTGTTGACTGACTCTTTTGCTTAATTAATTTCTGCAATTTTTGTTTATTAAAATTAAATTCTCCCATTTTATTTTTACTTTTTATTAATTCCTCCCACTTAATTTTAGTCGGACACAAGAAATCCTAGGTTTTAAAGTACCAGCAGACCGCAGGTCGCCTTTGGGGTCAGTTGTCCTTTATTTTTTCATTTTTTCTTTGCAACGAGGTTCGCCCGGTTTCAATTTTTCACTTAAATTCTTATTTGTAGATTTGTTTTCCGTGAAATTTAAATAATAATTTACTCAGAAATTTGTAAATACCACGAATAAAATTTATAAAAAATAATTTATGTCAAATATTTTGCCTTTGAAACAATATAAACGACTAAAAGAAATCCAACCAAGGATTCAAAACAAACCAAAGTAATTTCAGGGTTAATTTTTGATAGATTTTACGTTTGCTTTTTTCTAAGAAATTTTCTAATGAAAACTTTTGACACGCATTCGAAGCCAAGTTTGTGCAAAAACAAATTTTAAAAAAAAGTGTACTTGTGATGCGTGGGTGATGCTTTCGTTCAACGAGGCCACGGTTTGCTTTTCGCGCTCGGTCTGCGCGTCCAGGGCGGCCAGCTCGGCGTTGTGGGCCTTGACGGCGGCCAGCAACGCGTCCCGCTGCTGTCCCGGCGACTGCCGCTTCCGTTCCTCCTCGGACAGCGCGTCCCGCCGCACCGAAAGCTCCAGCAGACGACGTCGCAGTCGCAGCGATTCTTGGTGAATCTGTCAAAAGATTAAATCAATTATAGCCAAATTAAACTCTTATTCTCTATTTTTAGTTGAAAAGTTCCCACTTTATTAAAATTATCTACAATTGCATAGAAGGTAATAAAAATTTTGATAATATTTTAATTTAATTTAAAATTTGATGACGGCTGTGATTTTAAATTTTCATTTCCATTTTTACTACCTTTTCTCCATTTTATCTATTAACTTAATTAAAAAGATCGCGCATTTCTTTTACCTTTACGATAGAATTTCATCCTTTTACTAAAACCAAAAAACGTTCAAATTCATAAATAATAAAAAATATACAAAATCTCCAAATGACACAAATATCTAACATTAAGAACAATTTTGGGGCAATTTTGGAGCAAAATTAATTTTCTCTCTAGAAATAAATACTTTTCTTCAAACATTTCAACTTTTCATACCTCGGAGTGGTTGATTTTGTCCTCGAGCTCTTTGGTCTCGACGGACATGGCGTCCAACTGGGCCTGCATTTCGTCCGCCTTTGCGTCCAGCCGAATCGTGTTTTGCTGGAGTTGGGTGAACCTTTGCCGTCCCTCCGCGTCCAGCTGGGACACCAGTTTCTCCGTGATTTGCTGCTCCTGAAGTTGACATAAATTTAAAACATTCTCAAATCTCTGAATTTGATGAATTTTGACCTGTTTGAGTTTGTCCTTGAGGTCGTTGGACTCGTCCTCCAAGGTTTGCTTTTTGGCGAACAGGGCGTCGACCTGGTGCGCGATTTTGTCGCTCTCGCGCGCCACCTCGGCGATTTCCATGTTCACGTCGGACGCTTCGGCGCCCGTGTTCAGTCGGTCCACCAGCAAGTTGTAGTCCGACAGCTGCTCCTGCAATCCTGCACATTCAATTTGCTTTTTATTGATTTATTCCAGACAAATAATTCGTTAAAACAACTAAAAAAGGTGACGAAAATAAGGTGATGAAAAAATTAATTTTTTCTAAATATCATTAGAAAATTACTGAATTTCTAAATTAAAGATTTTTTAGAAAATACTTTTCTTTCTTTAAATTGGCTTAATGAATAAAAATGTCATCAAAAACCTAGTAAAAAATCAGTAAGTAGGAATTTATTTTTATTGCAAAAACTCTCTGATAAAAATGAAATAAATTCTTTTATTCTTTCACCAGATTTTGTTCATTTCAAAATTTTCAAATTTAAGTTTAATTTGAATTTTCAGAGATAACTCTTAATTTTGTTTCTTTTTCCACATGGGAACAATACATAAAAAAAAATAATAATTAGATTGATTAGGATCAAATTTGGCGCACCGGTCAACTCTTCGGCCAGTTCTCGGACTCGTTTTTCAAACACGAGCGACGCCGCTTTCTCCGCCTTGACCTCGTCGCTCTGCGTCTTCAGCTTGGCGATCTCGGCGCTCAACTCGCCCATGGCCGCCCTGACCATGCCCATGTAGTACGACCTGTCCTGCACCTGCCGCTGCGACGCCCCGCCGACCCCTGAAATCGATCCTTTCGAAATTCGAATGAAAATTGAGTCAATCCGAATTAACCTGTTCCGACGGGTTTCAAGCCGGTGCCCTTGATGGCCGTCGTGGACGGCGGCCGCACCATGCCGGTGATCGGCCGGTCAGGGACAGCGGACGACATACTCGACATCTGCATTACAAAGATGAAAATATCGGAAAATATACAATTTTTAAATTCCTCCTAAATTTTAAGATAAAATTTTTGGGTCGCTTACCGCGAAATAAGATTTTTCAAGAAAGAAAAAATAAAAAAAAAAATTCAATTATCTCAAATATCTTTGTTTCTAATAAATTTTAATTATGTAATAAAATGAATAAATATATAAAACAATATAAATAAAAAATTAATAAAATCATTAAAAATTACTAACTATAAATTAAAAATATTAAAATATATTTATAATAAAATTTTAATGAATAAAATAAGGAACAGCAATTTTATTTTCTCAAATATAATTAAAAAAGATTGCAAAATGGTTTCTAAAGTTCATAGGTCACCGAGGTCAATGACCTTAAGTGATCTTACATGCATGAAAGCTAAATGTTTCGATGCAAAAAGTCAAGAGAAACACTTTTTTCATTACACATTTTGTCGTAGCTGTAACAGAAACTGAGTTATCGCTGCTTAAAAATTAATTTCCATTGCGGAATAGCGATTTTTCACTATTAATAAATATTCAGTTAAAAATATAAATTAAACGGTACAAGCTGCAATTCTGAAAACGAACTAATTTATTCTAAACACTTTGGGCTACATTTTTTCTAATAATGTAAAAAAATCTGAGGGGCGAAAAAGACGTTTAAAAGTGAAATTTGCAAATTTATGACCTTGACCTTTGACCTACACAAAAGTGGACAACAGAAAAGTTGTTGGGCGGAAAAAGTTTCGTCTGGTGGAGAAAAGAACAATAATTTATTTTCATTAGGAGCAAAGATATTCAATATCTTCTTTTTTTGTAGAAATTCGTTCTCCCGGAGAAGCTGAAAATTTAGACCAACTTCAACAAAAAGTAATTAAAAATTTCAAATTTTTAACTTTCTTTTCATCAACAGTCACCAGATCGACCCCAATTATTCTGGCCGTGCTTTTAACAATTGAAATTTAATAATAAATAATAAGGGTGGCCCAGAATTGTAATGAAACGAACCGTGTCTGCATTGTCCTTGGCGCCTCTCCTAGAAATGGGCCTGGAGGAGACGAGGGGTGCGTCGTCGACGGCGGCCGAGCCCCTCCTCATGTCCGGGACGCTGGGTCGGTCCTCGGCGAGGCCTCTGGTCAGCGTGCGGTCGTCGCGCGTCCACCGAGTGCGCGGCCGTTCGTCCACGCGCGACACCGGCCTGCTCAAATTGCGCTGGGCCATGCAAATTTATTCACCGCGATTTGAATTTTTATCTCTGAAAATAAGGTGTTTGGGCGACGGTTGCCATGGCGACGGCATTCCTCGCGACTTTGCCGCCTTTTCCGTTTGAAAACGGCGCCGCGCCGCGGCAGCTTCTGAAAGTTCTCACAGGACCAGCTGGTGGGCCGTGGTTGACATGGCAAGTCCTCGCTCTCGGCGGGTCCTTCAGGAGCTGAAGAACAGGGACGCCAACTCGGTGAGTCCCTTTCGAGGAACAAAATCCAGAAAAATCCCCTTTGGAGGGAGGAAGGGTGAAAAAATGGCCAATTTTGGCGCGTGCTTTTTCAGAAATGCTTCGAGTGCGGCACGTACAACCCGCAGTGGGTGTCCGTGACCTACGGAATCTGGATCTGCCTCGAGTGCTCAGGGAAGCACCGTGGCCTCGGCGTCCACCTCTCCTTCGTCCGCTCCATCAGCATGGACAAGTGGAAGGACACCGAGCTCGAGAAGATGAAGGTCCGAAATCATTTTTCCTTATTTCTCAAGTTAATTTATTAATTTTTGGATTCAGGTCGGAGGGAACCTGAAGGCCCGCGAGTTCTTCGACTCGCAGGACACGTGGGACGACACCCTGAGCATTCAGCAAAAGTACAACACCAGGGCGGCGGCGCTCTACAGAGATAAGGTGATCTGGGTCAACCTTTTTTTTTAATTTGTAATTTTATCTCAACCTGAGATATTTGCAGATCGCGACCCTGGCGCAGGGTCTGCCCTGGGACGAGTCGGTGTCGGCGGCGCGGCTGCCCAAGTCGGAGTCGCAGCGCTCGGACTCGAGCGGCTACAACAGCTGCGAATACTCAGGGTACCAGGGCGGCGACGCCCCGGCCCTTCAGTCGCAGGAGTTCCGAGACCAGAAGGACGCTTTTTTCAACCGCAAGCAGGAGGAAAACTCGTCGCGGCCAGAGTAACAATCAAAATTAGCCCCACTTTTAAATTCCTGACTCTGATTTTCGCAGCCACCTGCCGCCGAGTCAGGGCGGGAAATACTCAGGGTTCGGATACACGATGGAGGCGCCGCCCAGGAGCTCCTCGCAGGAGTTCTTCGGCACCGCCATGGGCTCATTAGCTTCGGTTAATTTAAATTTGAATTTTTTTTAATTTTTTTATAAATCAATTTCTGCTTCAGGGTTGGTCCGTGTTTTCCTCTTCGGCTTCGAAGGTGGCGAGCAAGGCGACGGAGAACGCTTATAAAATCGGATCGGTGGCTACGCAGAAGGTGTCTGAAATTGGTGCTACTGTCGGAGAAAAGGTGAATTTCCTTTTTTGTTATATTTCAGAGTTGCACTTAAGTTTGCTTGCTTTTATTATTTTGAGCGTTTTGTTTATTTTCGAATGTAGGTCAAGGAAGGTAAACTGCTCGAGGATGTTGGCTCGCAAGTCACCAGCTTGGCTTCCAAGGTTGGCCTCATTTTTCTTTTCCATCTTGCAACAAAGTTGTTTAAAACCAGAAATGAAGAAGATATGGGTGGGTCTGAATATCAGAGGATTCTCGAGAAATGATTCTGGAATTCTCAGGAAATGATTCTCGCGCAAGGATTCTCCAGGAACGTTTCTGCCTTTAAATTCAAATAAAGAATCGTTCTTTGAGAATCCTTGCATGAGAATCTTTTCTCGAGAATCGTTTCTCTAATATTCGGACCCACCATTTGATTTTTTTTTTCAAATTGTTATTTTATTATATATTATTATAAACTTTGTTGCCAAAAATTTTGATCAATCTCATTCAATTTGAGTATAATTTAAAGAAATGATCAAAAAGATTCAAATTTAAAAGTAAAGAATAGTTCTCAGGGAAATAGAACATGTTCGCCGACCCGAAAAACTCTTCTCCTTTTTTTCTAAATTCTTTACTTTCTACTTGACTCAAATTAATTGAAATTATCTTTATTTTGAATTACAAATTTTAAAGGAAGCAACAGGACATTTTTTAGTAAAATTTTATTGTGAATTTTGAAATTTGCAGATGGGAGATCTTGGACGGCGCGGGTGGACCGACATAGGGCGCGTCCTTTCGCCCACTTCGGAGCAGCCGCCGGGAGATTTTGATTCTTACCAAAACGCTTCGCCGACCTCGCCACGCAATGAAAAGTCCTCCCTGACCTCTGGAGAAAGGTCAGCTCCTATTTTAATCGTTTTTTTTTCACTTTTAAATTAAAATTACTTTTTTGAATTTTGGCAGCACTCGGAAGTACGAAGAGGAGCAGGGCTGGGAGGACTGGGGCGAGTCTCCGAAAAAGCCGCCGAGCAAGCCAAAGTCCGGCGACGACTGGGGCAACAAATGGGACGACGCCGGCTGGTAAAAAAAAACTGAATCAAGAAAGAAAAAGTGCTGCAGTTTCCGAAGGAAAAGAGAAAATATCTTGAAATTATATCCATATATTTACTTGTTAAACTGACTGGTTTTGATGAGAAGTGCTGCTGGTTGATCCATTCCTCTCTCTACGTGGTCCAAGTGACTGTTCATTTGTATTTAATTTTGTGTTTTTCTGTGTCCGAATATACATTAAAAAGAAGGTTATTAAACGCCTGAGCAAAGAGAGCGCACATATTGGCTTCTTTCATTGACACCATTAGAATGATCCCGAGCTTTTGCTAATCAGCCGGATTTGCACAAAGATTTGTGGCAACTTTGTGTTAATTGCGCGAGGCCGAAGCTCAGCCAAGACGCTAATTGACTTTGGGATTTCATTCCTCCGAGTGAGGCGCACTTCAAATGAAGGAAAAATTGGTCCTCATCACATGAGTTTGTGATTCATCGTTTGCCGAGAAAGAGGAAAACAAAGCAAAGTTCAACGGTTAAATTATGAATTCCTTTTTTTTTTTGTAAGATTTGATTTAATTTTTTCTCATTGAAAATATTGAGGGCGATCCAAAAGGCTAACTTGGCCCAGGCTAAATTAACCTGGCCTGGGCTAATTTAACCCGCCATTCAATTTTGCTGGTGGGCTAAGTTAGCCCGGGGCCAAGTCAAGTTAGCCTGGGCCAGGTTAGGCTTTTGGATCGCCCTCATTGTTTCCGAAAATCCTCCTATTTAGAAATTTAGTTGTTTGATTGAACTGAACCGATTATATAATTTCAAAGGTCTGTTACAAAATTCATTTTATGAAAAAAAAAAATCACCCAAAAAATCTATTCCATTGAAGCAATTTTGTTTTTGTGACTTTTAGAAAAAACTGATATTGGAAAATTTGCTGCAGTTCAGTGTCATTTTAAAGGCAATTTTTAATTTTTTTTAGTCCATTTATGAAATAAAACAGACTTAAGCAGGAAGTTTGATTTCTCTTTTCTTTGTCGATTTTGAGCAGTTAATAAATTTTTGAACACCTCATGTTTTCCTATCAATATTTTCAGCTGGCCTGAAAAAGTTTTATTATTTATCAATCTTTTGTTTAATAAAATATTTTACTAATTTATATTTCTAGAAACGCTTTAAATTATTTGTGAGAATTGACATTTTTACTTCATATTTTTTATTAAAAAGAAATAATTTTCGCATCAAACAATTTTGCAAATGAAAAAGTGGCTGCGATTGGCGCTCAACACGAGTCGCGTTGCATCTGTCGGCGGCGCGGAAAGGTCCAGATTTCGCTTGGACAAACAAGAGGGGTCACTCGCCTTGCACTTGGTGCAGCCGGACGGTCCCTTCGGTGACTAACTTCGAGCTCGCCCGCTAATTGCTCTAATTGGCACCTCGCGGCCCTTTATAAGCGGCGCCTCGCGCCACAACCAACATCTTCCCCAGGACCTCGACATGGCACACATCAAGGTACGCGCGACACAATTCCAGTCTATTTTTCCGTTCACTTTTCAATAATTTCAAAATTTTTTCCAAATTTAAATCTTTTTCCCAAGTAACTTTTAGTTTTTATCTGAGGAAAAAGCTTTTCATTGAACTCGAAAAGGGAAAAGATTATATTTTTGCATTTTGTCGATTGAACTTTTGGAAAAGTCAATAAAATGCACTCTTCTGTTAAATGGGTACTTTTAATTTTGGATTAGTGCTTCGCGCAGGCTGCGTTTCTATTAACCTAGAGTTTTTTATTTTATTGATTCTAATTTTAACACATCAGTTTAAATCTTTATTTAATATTTGTCTGTTTTAACAGTTTTGCAGAGAAATTTTGTATTATCATCAATTTTTGTTTAAATTTTACAAATTTTTTCAGTAAAAAAGCCTCTATTTCTTTCAATTAATTGATTGACATAATTGAACTTTTGGAATTGATGCCACACTGCTGATAAATTTGGAATATTTATTGTTATGTAATTTTTGTGAAATTGCAGGTTGCAGTTGGTCTGGTGTTGGCGTGTGCGATCTGCGCGCAGGCCCTGCCCGCGGACTTCGGGACGGCGCCCTCCACCTCGAGCCCCTTCGGCGTCGGCTCCTCTTCTTTCGAGCCCGTCAGGCCCCTCGGCGGCTCCGGCGGGTAATTTCATTTTTATTTATTATAGTTTTTTTTTATTTTTGGTCAGGCTAAAGTCTAGTCAGCCTTCATCAGTGGTCCAAAAGACACCACCTATTTGTTTTTATTATTTAATTTTTGAGTTTAAATTTATTTAAAAATCATTATTTAGCTTTGCTGGCCTTAATTGATGGTACGTGCGATGTTGAAGAGCAAAAAAAATTGAAAAACTAAAAATAAAGAGTATTAAGAATGGTTTGAATTGGGGAAACTCTGATTTTCATTTTTCTCTTCCAAAAATTATTATCGTTTATTTTTCTCGAGTCAATACAAATGTAATAAAAATTGAAATTTCGCAGTTCGACCTTTGGCCAGGGATTCCAGCAGGGCACCACCCGTTTCCCGGTCGCCGCCAGCACCGTCAACCGATTCGTGTATGCAAATTTCTAGCTTTTTAATTTTAGAGTTTTTGGTGATTTCGATTTTGTTTTGCAGTCGCGATGAGAGCCACGAGCAGGCCAACGGCCACTCGGCCACCACCGAGTCGGACGTGACCTCGCACCCTGAGCGCCGCGAGGCCACCACCGTCGAATACAAGAGGCCCCTGCCCGCCGCCCCCACCACCCACTCCGCCAACAGGTATAATTATAACGCCAACTTCTAATCAAAATTGAACCAATTTAATGAAATTTTTCGTATTTTTCTATTTTATTAGCAATTTTAATTAAATTTAAACCTTTAGCCAGGTGCAAAATGAACATTGCAACCAGAATTTAGCCATAAAAAGCGATCAGAAACTAGGATATTAATTTTTTTAAATTTTATATATTATGAACAATTTTTAATTTTGATATCTTTAATTAATTTTTGAGATTCACTGCTGGGAAAAAGTAAATTTATCCAGCTTTAAAATTGATAAGATGATTCAAAACTTTTTCTGATCCTTTTTTTTCTGCATCTCATTATTGAAGCAGTTTGATTTACGATTGTTGTTTCAGGCGCGAGGCTTCGACCGTGAGGCCCGTGGTGCTGCCAGGCTCCCTCGCCGCCTCCTCCGCCTCCACTGCCGCCCCCAAGGAAAAGCGCGAAGAACCCACCACCGCCAAGGCCACCGTCGCCCCTCACCACAAGGAAAGGTAAACCAAAGGACATTTTTTACCTCAACTTTTTTACTTAAATTTCTTCAACAAAAAATTTTTAACGCTTATTAACATTTTTTAAAAATTGTGTTCATATCAAATTTTCATTAAAACAAATAATTTTGCTTGCAACTAAAAAAAAAAATGAAATTTTTTAAATATTTCTAAATCGAAATTTCAGGCGCGAAGAACCCACCACCGCCAAGGCCACCATTGCTCCCCACCACAAGGAAAGGTAAATCAAATTCAATCATTCATGGACTACAATTTTTTTTTTAATCCAAATTTCCTCAAAAAAACTAAAGCGTTTTTCAAATATTTAAAATATTTCAATTTTTCCATACAAATCGGAAGAATTGAACAGAATTGAAATAAATTTCAATCCGAAAGAAAGAAGATAAAAAATATTAATTTTAAATTGAATTTTCAGGCGTGAGGAGGCGAGCACGGTCAAGGCCACCGTCGCTCCTCACCACGACGACAAGTATAAAAAAATGTCGCAAATCTCGTTGATTTTTGTACTAATGCGCTGTGAATTTGCAGGCGCGAGGCGACGACCCTGAGGCACATCGCGATCAAGCCCCTGGTGCTCGTCGGAGCCGCCACCACCGCCAAGCCCAAGTAAGTGTCCCTTTCGATTTTGTCACGCATGCGAAAAAACAAATACAATGAAACGATTCAGGGCGCCTTGAAATAAGCATATATACGTATTTTTAGGAATTGATGCGTGTTTCTCGCAAAGTAATTGGTTGCTTTTGGTGTGTCAGGCAACATCACTCGAAAGAAGGAGTCATCGACGTGGATGATTATGAATACTAGACACAGCCCTATACATTGACACTTTAGTCAAAAACAAAACAAATTCATTATGAACTCTAAATAAAACGGAGAGCAAATATTATTAAAACTTGAACGCGTTTCACTTTTCAATGAGTTTCACATTTTATTTAAAAAAAAAAACGTTGATTTCTTTGCAATTTCGGCAAGACTTTTTTAGTAAAGAATAAAAAAAATTAAAAAAAAAATTTGATTGGTGCGGTTCTTTAAAAAGTAAAAACGGAAGGTAAAGTTCAAGTCGATGGTAAAATTAACCACGACCCTAATTGTGCTTTGTGTGAAAAGGCCGTTCGGAACCACCGAGAAATCGTCCTTCCTCAGCGTCTCCAACAAGAACCGCCGTCAGGTGGCCCCACTTTCCGCCGACGACGAGGACGAGCGCCAGGCGCAGGGTGGCCGCCCCACCCTCATCCCCCGACCCTCTCGCCCCTTCCGCAGGACCACCCCCAGCACAGCCTCCGAAGCCACCTCCACCGAATCCAATAACAAGAACAAGTAATTCTATTTGAAAAAAAATTTATGTTCTTAATATTCTGAAAAAGGGAAACATTTTTTATTCATAAGTTTCCAAATTGATAAAAAGTTTTTTTTTTATCTTTAAAACAACTGAAGTTATCAACTAGATGGAAAATTATAAATCTTCGAAGATTCCAAAAAGGAAATTAACAAGTTCCTTTTCAATTTATTTCTGAAGCTGCAAGACGGAAAAATAAAAATAAATGTGAATAATTTGAAGCACAAACTGAAATTTGAATGAATTCTGCAGGCGCGAGTCTTCGAGCACGGTGAGGGTGCCTGTGAGGCCCCTGAACCCTGGCAGCTCCACCGAGCAATCCACCTTCGGAATCAGGAACAAGCGACAGATCCCGCTGACCGAGGACGACGAGCGCCAGCTGGCCGGCCGCCCCACCCTCATCCCCCGGCCCAACGGACGCCCCACCAGGCCCGCGCGCCCCAACGTCTTCCGCAGGACCACCCCCAGCGCCCCCTCCTCCTCCTCCACTCGCGCCACCCCATCCACCACGACCGGCAGCAACAAGTTCAAGTGAGTCCAATTCAGGCATAATTTCAAGAATGAAAATATATTTTAAATTAAAAATTAATTTAAAATGGACTTTTCATAATGAAAATTTAAACGTTTCTCATTTAACCTTAAATAGTTTCATAAAAGTTCTCAAATTTAACTTTTTTGTTGCAATTTTTGTGACTTTGAATGCTAATTTTAAATTTTGATTGTAAATAAGGCGCGATGTTTTCTACACGACTGAGAGGCCTTTCACCGTCGAGACCTTCCACGGCGCCGACCAGTCTCTGCCCGGCCAGTCCACCTACTTCACCGGCACCAAGTATGGAAGCGAAATTAATTATTCAAATTAATTTTTGACGTAATTTTGTTGCAGCGTGAACGGGCAGCGTCCCGACGGCCAGCACTTTGTCGGCTCGTCCATCGCCAGCACTTCCTTCTCCACCAACCCGCAGAACTTCAACAAGTGAGTCCCATTTCTAATTTTATTTCCGAATTTCATTGTTATAATAATTCTCAAATTCGCAAAGCAGACGCCAAGCCGACGGCGACGGCGACGACTCGTCCAGCGGCGAAGACAACCAGGAGTTCCAGCACGAATATCTTTAAACCCCAAAATGAGAATTGATGGCAAATCGTATTTTTATACAACTAACTTATCAACCAAACAAACTCGGCTTGAAAATAAACATTTTCTATCTCGGTAGAATTTAGAAATCAATCAAAAACTCGTCTTTTTATTTCATATATTCCTACCATTTTTTTTATTTCTCGAGACTGCAATTATACAAGTCAGATCTACAAGTTTTGGCACATAATTTATAATTTAATTACGCATGAGTAGCACCGAAGTACGTCTTGACTAGGACATGAACTTTGTAAACTCTCTGCATTCACGCGCTCTCTTCCTTTCTCTTCAAACTCTGCGGATTGACAAATTAACGGAAAAAGGTTTTAACTCTTTTGGTGCTGCACAAATTAAAACTTTCAAAGGAAGACTTTCTTTCTGATCCGGGAATAAAAGGCACCTGAAAAAATTCATGCCAATTTGAATTTTTCACTCTCGCAATTAAGTATTCCCCCTGCAGCTTCCCATTTTAGGCAAAAAAGTACCTTTGAAAGGCGCATTTTTTAATTTTTGTAGTAATTCTTCTATTCTTTCCGTTGAGACTAATTTAAAATCAACCAATAGGAAATTTATTTACCTTTAAAAATCTTACCAATTTTGCCTGAATCAGATAATTTTTGACACAAAAATTTGCAATTGTCTAACCAAAGGTAATTTTTTGCTGGCATTTTAGCTCTTCTGATTTAAGAGTTAAAAATTTAAGAGGAAATTTATAAATAGGCACGATTCATCCCAAACATAAGGATAAAACCCGAGATGATTTTCAGTCTTCTAGGCCCATTTTTTATTTTCACCCATAAATTTAACATAGATCAGAAAACATCATGTTTCAACCTTTCCACTTTCATATCTTTTTTGGATTTAGAAGAAAATGTTTAATAAAAAAAAGTATGAAAAAAATCAACAAGTTTTGTTTAAAATATTTTTCTCCAAAATGTATTCCAAACGACCTAGAGCTAAAAAACCAAGAAATAAATTACAAAAAATGGATATTTTTATTTCCAACAATGGAAATTTTTGGCGCCAAAATGGTCAAACTTACAGAAACTTCGTGTGTTTTAGAAAGCTTATTAATTTTTCTATCGATTGGCATTGGTCTTACGCTTGTACAAGAAATAGAAAAATTACTATAAAATAAAATCGTATCCTTTGAAAGATAATTTTTTTTTACCAAGAAAGTATATAAAATAATAAAATCTCAGAAAATGTGTCTCAATAGATGGTGAAAATTTCAATTTGGAATGAATTTTTTTTTCCAGGTGCGAGCCTTTCTTTCCAGGACCATTCTTTCATTCACTGCAAACGAATTTGAATATGGCGGAAGACGAAAGCATAATTATTTATGAGAGAGTGAAGCAACGAACGAGATAGGAACATCAATATAACATTTTCGCACTTACGCTGCGGGGCGACGAGACGGGGAGGGATTTTCATATACATATTTAATCTCGCTAGTCTTAATTCCTCAGCAATTTGCTACGCGTCTCTCCTCTAAACGAGTTTCTATACGCAGCATTTTGTAATATATAATTCGGGTGGTGTATTTTAATTACAAATTCATCACTTTTCTCGCTAAACTTGACGTAATTCTATGGTAGAGGTTATTGCCTTTTACATTTACAGATTTCTCTACGATTCGCCTACAGAAATTTCCTTTATAGTTTTTTCTTTTCAGAGAGACAGAGAGAAACGGACGTGTGCTTTTTTGGTAAAACTTTTGAGAGGGTGGTTCATTTTATTGCGTCGCTTGAGCATTCTAAATTCTTTTTACACCTGATTCTCTCCGATCGAACGACGTCACGTTTTTGTTGTTTTTTAAATACACATTTTAAGACACAACGAATATATTTTTACACCTAACAGGGAGACTCACACTTAACGCTAAGTTTCCTGCGCGGCAAAACGCACTACGGAGTACAACAGCCTGTGATGTTTCTGCTTCTTTCAATCGCAACTCAAACTTCGGCTTCAAAAACCGACTAACGCGCTAAAAACGAGCTTCGCATCTAAAACCTTCATTCCGAAATCAAGAGATTATTGGCAACTGCTTTCGAAACGGCCTCTCTTTTCTAAAATATTCCAGCGCGGCTTCGTGTATAAAATTAAGCTACCGGGGGTAAAAACCACGTAGCCTACGAATAAATTTTCTCCAACTTTTGATTAATACGTTAGGGATATGGCGTAGTTAAGTGTGGCTTTAATTCCGTCTGCTCTCGTTTCTCCTCGCAAATAATTTGCTTTTGTTTCTCGAACATCTCGCCGCAGAGAGATCGTGTAGAAAAATTGACTATAAAATTTGCCGCAAGCACATCATTTAATCGTTCCACTTTGCTCACTTATTGCTCCACAAATCAATTGTTTCATTATAGTTCTGAATGAAAAAAGCTGCGCGTGATTTTGAGCGTCGACTTTTGAGAAATTCAAAGTACGAAGCGAGAGAAAATAATTATGGAAAAAGAAACGTTTGATTCGCTTTGATATCCCTTTGCGACCTGGCAAGAAAGGGCCGTGGGAAGTGTCGAAGCGGCGATTATCGTCAGTCCTTGGCTTTGCTCTTGGCCTGCTCGTCCCTCTCCTTCCGCTCCTCCCTCTCCCTCCGCTTGTTCTCCTCCTTCTCCCTCCGCTTCTGCTCCTTCTCCTCCTTGCGCTTGTTCTCCTTCTCCTCCTTCTCCTTCCGCTTCAGCTCCTTCTCCTCCTGCTTCTTGCTGGCCTTGCTCTGCTGCTCCTTGCCGAGACCTTTGGCCGGCGACGCCCTGAAGTAGGACTTTTTGGCCGCCGCAGGGTTCTCCAGCTGCGTCACGATTTTCTGCGCGCACCGGATCCGCGTCGACGCCGACGGCTTGTCCTTGGCGCCGCCCGACCTGTCCCTGCTCGCCCGGAACTCGCGCTGGAACTCCTGGATCGGCGGCAACCGACCTGACCCCGTCGACCCTGAGCTGCAACTCGCCACGCTGCTCGCCGGCGGCCCACAACTCGCCGCCAAGGGGTCTTTGTACTCTTGCAGTCGCATCTGCAACAAGGACAAATTATCATTATAATTTTTAGTTTACAACAATTTAATAATTTCAATATGCAATTTTTCTATATTCTATGCAAAATTTTCAATTCCAAAGATTGTTTTCCTTAGTCATGACACGCGTATTTAAAAATTGTGCATTAAAATGAGTTCCGATTAATATATAAAAAAAATTATAAAATTATTTGGTTAAAAATGCCTGAAAAAGTGGAAAATGCATCAAGAGTGCGCCACGTCATGATAATAAGGTGGGATAAATTCTATTCAAAAACGATTCATAAATGATTTTTCCAAACAACTCGAAAAAAGTATAATTGGAGAGCATTTTACCCACATTCATTCTTCTATAGCAGACGAATATATTTTCTATTTTTGTTTTTACCAATAATACCAATCACATGGAAGAGATTCAATTAAATTTTGCCCGTAGATTAAAACGGAAAAAAATGAGAAAATTTATTCTTTGCAGGTATTGTGAGTTTTATGCAATCTGAATACTCGTCGGTCGGACGGGTTGCCTACCTTCGAATTCTGCAGGCGCTTCATCTCTGAAATGACCTCTACCAGAGAGCAGAAACTTTCAAAATTTTAATAGTATTCAATCTTTATTTGTTGGAGGTAGAAATTTTGAAAAAAGTAATTTTATGAACATTGAAATTAGTAGTCACCTGAAAGTTGAATTTAATTGCCAGAATATATAGAAGATTCCTAAACTATAAAATTTTAAATCCAATGGTTCTTCTGTTTATTTGTGCTTCTTTGGAGAAAAAATTAATTTTTTTCCTTATCATGGATCATGGATGTAAAAAATTAAGATAAATTTGATTTTTCAGAACGAAATCTCACTCTAATTAGCTGGAAATGTTTTAAACCATGTGTGCAAAGTGCGTAATTGAAAAATATGTTTATTTTCAATAAGAATTATTATCCTAATAAAATTATTTTTAAACTATCGTCTCACGAAGGACAGTCTTCTTGAGTTTAGTTGGCACCGTTTGTAGTTCCAAGCTTATCTTTTTTATGGTGCACTTTAGTGCGATTGCAGATTTTATAAAGTCTAATAGAATGATACGATAAGATAAGGTCTACTTAATTAATCGTTAAAATTTGCTTTGATTTTTCATTACGACGAAACGACGAAGATTGAGTAGAGTGAATTTAACTATTGATAATGAGATAATGGCGCGACGAAAAAGAAAGCCCTCGTCGGCCGGGTCATCATCATTAAAAACAATAAGTAAGAATTTGCTATTACAATTATTATATGTGCTAGTAAGTTACAAAAGCTTATTTTACTTTTTATTGATGCACAATTTTGATTACTCTCAGCAAATTACAAACCAATTTTGTACCTTTAAAAAATATTTGACCCTTAAAAAGATATTATAGCCGTTCAAAAATAAAAAAAGATTACAATTAATTAAAATATTATATATCATAATAGTTGAAAGTCAATCATTTGCAATAATAACTGCGCAATTCAGAGATAATACAGCATAATTTTTGATAAAAATGTTAATCAAACTTTCAAAGCTAAGATAGAGATAAGAAAGAAGCTCAAAGAAAATGTCACGTAGGCAGTTGCCGTATGCTGATTTAAATGTCCAGATAAGGGGGTTAAAGTGGGTATTCAATTATATTTTTATTTAAAATCTGGAAAATCGTTCGGCACTAAATAAAGTTTTCTGAACTAACTAAATTATTAATGATTATCGGATAATGAAATATAATAAGCGTTTTATTCTTATTTCCACATTATATTCAAAGAGGCATAGTGAATTTGACTAATATTTCAATTTAATTTCTTCAATGTAACCATTTAAGATTTATATTTTAATCGAATTTCATATTTGATAAAATACAAGGTTGTTCTTTCTAAATTTCAGAAAATATAATTTTCAACTCTGTTTTTAGGATTCAATATGAATGGACCGGCCCAATTGGGGTACTTTGAAAAAACCAAAATGCGGATGAGTACAAATAAATTCATCATGATAACAAAATTGATTATGAATTAAATTTTTTTGTGCAGTGCGTGCGTTTTGGTTGTCACTTACGACTTTAAAGATTCCGAAAAGAGGCGACACGGCAATGAAAAGGACCTTGAAAACTTAAAAAAATCGTTCGAGGAGAAAAGGAAATGTCGATACCAAGAACTGGCGTCGCCCGAAGCTGAGGTTTTCCTTGAAATATTAAAAAACGAGAAAAAACTCCTCCAGCTTTTCAAAATTTCAGGTACGAAGAAAAAAATTAGATGTTTTTGATCGGAATAAATATAAATTTTCTTAGCTGTTCCCTCTGCATTTCTTCTCATCATCTTGGCGCACGGAAAAGAAAACAATATTATAGAGACAGACCACAAGGACCAGAACGGAGAATACAAATACTTTCTGACCACTGACGTGCTGGAGGCAATAAAAAAATCGCCAAACCTGCGAGAACAACTCAATGTCATTTTCTTTGGAGTACGAATTAGTTTATGATTATTTGACTGCATATTTAATAATTGTTAAAAAGCCTTGCCGGGGAAAACTCAAGGACGTGGCTCATCAAGAAATGGAAAATCCTAAAATTTACGAAAACCAAACCTCAAACAGGTTGACAAACATGCCCTGCGCTGAGAATTTCGTCATCGTTTATTCAACAGTCGAAAGTGACATGATTTTTAATTTTTTCACGTTAAATATATAATAATTTGAAAAATTTTAGCGACTTTGTCAAACAGAGACACAAGCGAAGGCACGTGGTTGGTGCAGGGAATTTGCACTTTGTTGGACAATCTTCAAAAAGACGAGCCGTTGGAGGTTTATCTCACCAAATTGCAACATTGGATCCATGAAAGGTTAGACGTGGATCATGGCCAGACCCCCGAGGTCAAATACACTCCGCACAGGAAATTTGTGATTAGCAAGTCAGTTCGTAATCAATTTAAATTTGTAAACTTTTTAAATTTGGATGTTAAAAGGGCAGCAAAGACGGAAGTTCTTAGCAAAATCCAATCAGATGGGAAAGGAACAAACTGTAGCAGCCGCCGCCTGAGGGCGCGCCCTACACCAAAAACACTGCCACACCTTCCAGGCATTCGCCATCAAGGCGACAAGGACCATCAAGTGTCCGCCCGCGGGCTCCGCGGAATCTTCCAATATCATCGAACCCAACATGGGGTAATTAACTTTTTATTCAAGAAACATTTTCGGCAAGAGTTGCCCTTCAGTTTGAACCATTAAGTGTTCTGTGTTTAATTAATTTTCAGTGACAAATCTGCCTCCAAAGTGGAGCACATTTTTCCGCCATAATTGGCACATGTGAATTTAAATTTCTCAATCGACAATTTCTCAATCAACAAACAAACAGAATTAATTCTCAATCAATGTAAATCTCAAATCATAAACATTTCCATTTTGTAACATTTAATTTTCCAATATGTGATATTTATTGTTTGTAATTTAATTTCAGTTCGGAGTCACCATTACAATTTCGTAAAAGAAAAACAAGTGGTTTCAATTCTTAACAACTCAACCCCACAAAACCTTCAAAATATAAATACTGCCGAACAATCAGCGTTCTTCCCATGGCGCACAGAAGACGGAACGGACCTCCAAGAGAAATGGGCAATGATTATCAGCAACAATAAAGATGACTCAATTGTTCTACGCACGCAAGAGGCGCTTCGCGAAAATTTGGGATTTAAAACAAGCATTACGGAACAATTGGACTCTGTCTTTGAAACTAGTTAGTTTGTTTATATTTATTATAATTTTTTATGAATAATGTTTGTTCTTTTCAGTGCAAGGAGAGCAGAGTAACGTTGGTTGCTTTTTGGCTGTCTTTTATGCTTCGCTGTCTTTGAACAAAGAGACGAATGAGATTTGCGTTTGCGTTGGAAACGATAGCATAAAAATTGGTGACCTTGTCTACAAGTTCCTAGGACCAGAAAATAGAATGTGGATTGGGAGGCCAAAGCTTTTCTTCTTCGTGCATCCAACAATAGATTCGGACAATATTTCAACGGCATTAAGTGACAATATTTGATTATGTTAAATAAATTACTTACTTTAAAATAAATTCTTTGTATATTTTCAAATCGCACTATAGAAACGAATTTAACTACGGTTTCTGCGTTTTTCATTCCATTTATATTGCTCTCATAGAAACTTTTTATCCGCCTGCATAAGTCTAGAAAATTATTGATTTTTAATCCAATCTAAAATGACATATTAAAATATGGAACATATGACTTTTTTCAGTTAATATTGTGCTTTCTTCATTCTGTTTTCAGGTTGAAAAGTTCAATTTACCGGGCACTAATCATAGTGGAAGCTTTATTTACATATTAAATAGCAAAGGTAAGATTATAAAATTAATTTAATATTTTTTTTAATTAATTGATCTGCATAGATTCTGCTGAGAAATTGATACATCTTTTTGAGAACTCCAAGTTCAAAAACAGAACGTCTATTCAGGAGCTGGCCCTCGACCTCCTAGATAGGATGGATCCCGACAATAGTGAGAACGTTACTAATCAAATCGTGTCCACGCTTCCTTTCCTAGTAGATGTGCCCAACCACCCAATAACTTTCGTTGCGCCTGCAGTGACAGTTACCTTAAATAATACATCATCAATTGACGAAGAAACAGACAATCACACTGAAGTACTCGCAAGTTCAAGTGCAATCGGACGAAATCGATCTAAGTTTTCTGAAAGGCAAGAACCAAACGAGAAAAATTTGACATTTGACGAACTGAAAAAAGAGATGAAGCAACAGTTGCTGAGCTCTGGAGAGCAAGATTACTGCGTGTGGCTTTTCTCGTCGCTGCCCGGTTCGGGAAAGTCAACGATTCTCCTAGAAATTGCTAGTTGTCTAAACAGGGAGCAAGCGGGCAAAAAAATCATCAACATCCAACTGCAACAACATTACGGGTATTTTTACAGAGAACGGGACACTAGCACTAATATTGTGAATTTACTATACCAATCAAATGAAATGAGCCACAATGATGCGAAAAAATTAGCGCAAGAGAGGAAATCAATTGTGTTTCTGGACGGTTTCGATGAAATTTGCCCACGTTTCCGAGAAAACGTGATGACGATAATTAAAGATGCGACTGAAAAGAAGATTCCACTGGTGATCGCAACAAGGCCTGAGGAAGAAGAGACCCTTTTAAAGTCACTAGACTTGCTATCAACGAGGAAGATTGTAATTAAACCCCTCGAGAGGAATGAACAACTCAAACTACTTATGAATTTAGGAAAAAACAAAGAGGATTGTGAAAAACTCTTTAAACTCTTCGAAACGTGTGGTGCTACTGATATTCTCAGGAATCCGTTTCATTTGACTTTAATAAGCGACATGGAACTCGAATCAGTTCAGGGAATATTTGGTATCTACGAGGTGGTAATTAAAAAGAAGGTTACAGACGCGTTGCAAACTTCGAAGGAAAGCAGAACACCAAAAGACTTCGTGGTTGACAAGCGAATTCAACTTTTGCAGGAAATCTCACTAAGATTTCTTTTAAATGATGGCTCAATTCCTTTTCCAACTGAAATCGATTTAATCAACAACACTGGCGTCGCATCAATGGAAGAAGGGAAAATACGATTTGTTCACCAAACTTTTGCTGAATTTCTCGTTGCCCAGCGCTTTATTCAAGAAATAGAATTCGAATCAGCGTCTTCGATTCCAATATTCAAAAACGCCAACTTAAGGCAGTGCCGCGTTTTCATAAACAGTTATATTTCTCAGAATACCACTTTTAGTGACAATTTGAGCATTTTCTTCGATCAAAGCCAAAATGTTGACATTCATAGCATTTTGCGTGAACAACTTGATCACATTCTTCATGAGTTGAAACCTAATCTGAAAAACCTGCTCAATAGCGGTGATATAAAAAAACGGGATACAAACGGGAATACGCTTCTTCTTTTGGCAGCTCGATTTTCAAGCAAAGAAATTTGTAAAATTTTCGTTGAAAACGGCGCTGATTTGAGTGCGGAGGACAATGACGGAGACGACGCTTTTCATTTGGCCTGCTTCGAAGAGAAATTGGAAAATGCCAAGTATTTGCTGGGGTTAAATGGCTTCAGCGTAGAAAAGAAAGGCCGGTATGGAAGAACGGCTCTGCATTGGGCTGCTTGTAAAGGTCACGTCGCAGTGGCCGAATTTCTTCTTTCAATAGGAGTAAACGTCACAGCTCGTGACGATAATAATGACACGCCTCTCACTTTGGCAGCTCAATTGTCAAGTGAAGAAATGTGTCGATTCTTGGTGGAAAATGGCGCTGATTTGAGTGCAGTGAACAAATTTGGGAACGATGCTTTGCATTTTGCCTGCATTAGAGGAAAATTGGAAAATGTCAAGTATTTGTTGGGATTAAATGGCTTCAGCGTTGAAAAGAAAGGATGGAACGGAAGATCGGCTCTTCATCGTGCTGCTGAAAAAGGTCACGTCGCAGTGGCCAAATTTCTTCTTTCAAGAGGAGCAAACGTCAACGCTCGTGATGATGAAAAAAGCACGCCTCTCAATTTGGCAGCTCAATATTCAAGCGAAGAAATGTGTCAATTCTTGGTGGCAAACGGCGCTGATATGAGTGCGGTGGACAAATACGGACAGACGACTCTTTGCATTTGGCCTGCATCAATGTGAAATTGGAAAATACAAAATATTTGCTGGGATTAAATGGCTTCAGCGTTGAAAAGAAAGGCCAGTACGGATGGACGGCTCTTCATTGGGCTGCTGGAAAAGGTCACGTCGCAGAGTGGCCAAGTTTTCTTTCAAGAGGAGCAAACGTCAACGCTCGTGACGGAAAGAATAAGACGCCTCTCAGTTTAGCAGGTAAATTTTCAAACGATGAAACGTGTCAGATTTTGGTGAAATATGGAGGCACAAAGCCTGTTCCAGAAAAATTACCCAATTAAACAAATATAAGCTTGCCTTCTGCAAGCTCATAAGGGCAAAGGCACTTGTCTTGGCCTGACCCAAAAAAAAAAAAGAAAAAAAGATAATTCATTTTGCAACGTTTCGTAATTTGATGTGGATTCAAGATGAGTAATGTATTTTTTGTACCTACCAATATGATTTTTTAACTGTTGCATTTTTTTTAAGATGAACAAAATTTTCAATTTATTTTTATTTGTATTAAGTGTGTCGCTAAAAATTAAACAAAAACTTATCTCAAAATCAGTGGAGGTTTGCATTTTTAGTACCTGAATTTTACTTTACAATTAATAATTTAATAATCAATTTTGAATTCTGAAGAATATTCTGATGAGATTAAATTTTTATAATAATTAAAATATAATTCATGATGGACATTGTTTGTATGGTTAAAGTTATTTAAATTATCTGCATCTAAAATTTATTTTCCCTTGTATCAACTAATTTGATGTCATTTCTCTTGATTCATTTGCTCATAGAAAATTAACTTATTGCAAACACGATCATTTTGTGAAATTTAAAATTTAATCTCTATAATTCTATACAGTGAAATATAATGTATTAACTTTTTTTTCACCGTTGAACAGAATTTTTAATGTCGCTGTTGAAAAATAAATAATTTGAAAAAATACTATTTCCGTTTAGCTAAAATATAATTAATTCTTAATATTTAAATCCGCACTTCCTTCATGAAACATCAAAGGCAAGTTGAGATTAATGAAGATAGCAAACCGCCGTCGTTAGCAGCTTTTTTTCTTAATTTATTCCATGAGAAAAATATATGCAACCAGCGCGACAAGTGCGTCACACGGGTTGCCTTCTTTCAAAGATCCAGCTTATTTTTCCTCAAGGTCAAGTAGTACTTAACAAAAGTTAATTTAATTCTTTTACGGGGTATATTTTAATGAATCAACCCTTTTTAAAAAAGCTTATTTGAGTTTTCATTGCAGCCGTTGTTAATAAAATCGTTCATTTTAACATTCCTAATAAAAATCATAATAAAAATTTCACGTTTTGCTTATCAGAAAAAGCAAGACTTCTTCTATAATTTTCGTTTGTTTTGCGAATCAAATTCTGCGTCGGTGTAATTAGGATGGGACGAGTCAAGATAGTTTGAAAAAGGCAAAAGACTCACTTTCATTTGGTGCGTTTGCGAGCGTTTGAGGGAGGCGCCCGACGGCTGTCTGTAGACGTGATGGCGCCCGACGCCCGGACAAGTTGAAGAAGAAGAGCTCGCTTTGCTGGAGCGGGTCGAGCCAACGCTGCTGTTGGTCGCGGAACTCACGGAAGACATCCCTGCAGAGCACACAAAATTAGTGGCGGAATTATTTTTATATCATAATTGGAAAAATTTAAAGCAAATGAGATGATGAAAAAGTTAAATAAATATTCGCAGTTTCAAAAATTAATTTCTCTTCTTAATAGGAAATTATTTGAAATCTTGATGATTTAAAAAAAAAACTAAAAAGTCCGAAGTTTGAAAATTGTGAAAAAATTGACTTTTACAAAAATATTGATGAAAAGAACGGCCGAATTTGCTTAATGCTGATGATTTGAAGGGGTTTTTGAAAGGTTTTTTTTTAAATAGTCGAACCAGAGAGCGAAGAGGTTCCCGAAGACATGGAGTAGAGGGAGGCGGAGGCTGGGACCTCCCACTTGGCGCCGACGCCGACGCAGTACTGCGACGCGGACGTGGGCAGCGTGACGCCTCCGGTGACGCCCTGCTTGAGCCGCAGGATCTTGGACCTGCAGATGACGCACCTGAGCGGCAGCAGCCGCTGCGACACCGCCATCTGGATCGTCTTCACGAAGCACTTGCGACACACGACGCGGTGCCCGCACGGGAACGTCTGCATCGTCGCGCGCGCGTTCACGCAAATCACGCACTGAAAAACACACAAACAAAGTCATACAAATATTCAAATCTTTTATTTTTTTAGTTCAAGTTCGAAACGAAAAGCCAGAATATCAAAATTCACATTTTTTCATTTTAGTTTTTAAAAACCTTCTATGATTTAAATTCATATTTTTTTTTATAGTTTTGAACACAAATAAGTAAATAGATTCAAACCAAATTTGAAGAAATTAAACAGTTTGGTCGGATTTTAACCAAATGTCTTAAATAGCATGGATTCTTTTCTATATTTAAAATGCATAATTAAGCAGCGCTTTCTTTTGAAATCTGATGAAACAATTTCACAAAATTATAAAAATAAATAAAAATTTGAAATATTAGTGAAAAGTACATTCATAATAAAAAAAAATCAAGTTTTTATTACGAAAATTCGAATGTAAGATTAATTTTTTTTTAAATGAGTTCTGCTTCTAGTGATGTTACTGCGATTTTTCTGTGCGATATATTGCAAACGGAGAAAAGAGTTCAGCGAGGCACACACGCCGCATTGCACCAGCTTTTGCTCTCTCCGCACTTGCAATCTCTTTTCCGCCGACGGCCACATTAAAAAAAAGAACCAACCTCGTCCTCCTGTGAAGTCGCAACGTCCGGCTCGTTCTCCTCCAGCTTGCACAACAGCTTGTCCTGAAACACAAAGTCAACTTTTTCAAATCCCTGCATTTGAAACAAAATTTTAATTGACTTTTTTTACGGAAGTAATAAAATACGTCTGAAAATCGCAAATTGTGTCAATCTAATTCAAAATATTTAAGATTTAAATACGAATTTTGTTTCTGTTTGGAAATTTTGATAGCATAATTTGTTGCATATATTTCACTAGAAACAAATTTCCTATTGTATTGTCTGTTCTAATTTATAATTGACTTTCATTGTGAACCAAAGAGGCTTTAAAATCGAATTCGTCATTGATTTAAAAAGAAATATGCTTTAAATTTTTGTACTTTGATAGAATTTAATAAAAATAAAAATGATTTTTATTGCCAAAAAACTAACATTTTAAGTAGATGAGACTAAAAAAATCCCCCTATTTTTAAAAATTTCTTTATTTTTACCAGTCTATGATGTGAAATTTGTGAAATTTATATTTTTTAAACAATCCATTTTGTTTTTAAACTTCAGTTCACAAAACTAGTCAAAAAGGGAACATTTAAAATCGCTTATTTTCCTTAAAAAGGTTTCCTGTTATCGAATGGATTCAAAAGAAGCTTTTGCAACTTCCATTTCCCCGCTTTGATGTGGGAAACGAGCAATTTTTTTCCCTTTTGAGAGTCGCGAGTGAGGAAAAAATGCAAATGGGACGCGGCCGAGCGCGAAATCCGCTGACGTCGCCCAAACGGAATCATCGACTTTGGCAAAATGCTAATTTATTCCCTTTCCCTCGACACAATTTCCAAAAAATCATTTGTATTTCAAAAGTTGAAAAATTTAATTGATAAATGCGGAAGTTGTGGAGCAAATTTTGTGCGTCCGGGGGCCGTGGGTCGGTCCGACCCCCGGGGGCGGAACCGCACTCGGCAGGCAGTGCCACCCCTCGCCACCGCCAGATCAATACAACCCTTTACGGCCGTCTCTGCATCGGCTGCGGCTTCACCCACGGGACCCTTTCACACTCGGTCCGTCAAAAAGTCGCTCTTTTTTCAAACAATTTTGCACGTTTTTCAAGCACAATGAATTTCCCAACACAAAATTGGCGGGGAAAATGAGTTTCAAATGCAAATGAGATGCTGAAGGAAAAAAGCAGAGGTGTGAATTTTTTACTTGTCCCGGGAGATCCGTAAAAAAAGGACAATATTCATCAACTAAAATTCTCTGTGGTTTTTAGGGAAATTAAAAAAATAAATTGCTTTGAAAACCGTCAAACTTGATGCAAGGGGAGTTTTCCACAACAATAGAAGTTTTCGAAATTTTCTTTTAAAGAAGAAAAGTTTGATATTTTCTTACATAATTGCAAGTTTAAATTTCAGCATTAGAATAAAAACTGTTTCTTTTTATAATTTATTTAAAAATTTTATACAAAATTGACTAGACGAAAACTGTTGAAAATACGAACTAATTTTAAGCTTTTTGACTAGATCCTTTCATCAAAATATAACTTTCTTCACACTTTTCTGGCTTCATTTTGGCTATAAAGTCACCATTTTTCAGTCTATTGTATTAATTTGTCACAATAACTTCAACTTTTGATACAATTCGGAGCAAACTTTAATTAAACCTAAATATAATTTAACATAAAAATTTAATTATTTAGCCTTCATATTATAAAATTTTCTATCGTATTGGAATTTTTAAACGAATAATTAAATAATATGCAAACAAAATATTTTCTTCATCTTTCACCAACAATAAAAAAAATGAGCTTTGCTTCCTCGCGTTGTAAAAGGCTAAGGAGGTATGCAACCGGGCGGACGGACAAGGGCGGCGGGTTGCATACCGAGTGAGCTCGCAGGCGATCAAGTCGGTGACGGGGGCAGTCGGTCGGAGAGGGAGGGGAGGGGGGAAGGAAAATCGCTTCATTTTCTCGGCAAGGGGCCAACGGACGGACGGACGGGCGAGCCGAATCCAGACTCGTCAATCAAAACTCGCACGCACGCACGCACGCATACCATCGCCTGCCAAATTCAAACAAATTGAACAATCGGCAAGAAAAAGTGCATCAGTTTTTTTTGCCTTGAAGACGGTTTTAGCTTCTAGAAAATAATTACAGCCGAAAATTAACAAAATATTGAAATTGTATTGAGAGTTTATTCTTTAGCAATAGTTAATTCAGATAATTGAATAAATTTTTTGATTTAAATTTGATTTTTTTTTGGAAATTCTCTTAAATAATTGTTTTACTTCAAATTGGCCGAATTAAAATTTACAAAATTTCATCATACCAGGTTAAAATCTAATATCATTTCAATAAAGTTGGCAAAAATTAAATCTATCGGCAGTTCAACCTTCAAATTTAAATTATAAGAATCCACAAAATTCTCCTAAATTTTTAGATTAATTTCCCTTAACAATCCATAATAAATTCTTTTTTAAAACAGTAGTAAATGTTAGTAATTTTGAAAATTATTTAACCAAAGTTGTACTCTTGGGAAGTTACAAATTTCATCAATTTATATATGTACTTTTTGTAAACTTTTCAAGCCCAAGAGATTATATTATTTTGTTGAGAGCGCAAAAGACGGATTGCAGCTGGAAGTGGCAGTCGCGAGAGCGAACGAGAGCTTTTTAATTGAACTCAAGTATGCATGAGAGTCGGCCCCGTTAATTACGCCAGCACTCGGCATCAATTATTTGCAGCGAAAATAACGAGGTCGCGCCCAATGACGTGAAAAATCCGTCCATTGTCAGCGCAATGATTCAGGTTAATGAGCGGAAACTTTGGTATTTCATTTATTTCAATTTCCAAGATGCTAATTTGAAACGTAATACATTCGAAAGTTGCAAATTAATTATCAAATTTCAATTCAGTCACAAATTTCAAAGAGAAATTTACCTCAAAATGCAAATTTATTGTTTTTTTTTTCTTGTCAGGAATGATTTAGTGATATTTTGCAGTGATTTTAGTGTTCAAAATTATAAAAATTTCAAAATCAACTTAATTTGAATCATTATTACTTTTTTTTTTGCTTTTTATTCTTTCCTTTTTTGAATTTTGAGCGTTTAAAACAAAACGGAATTTCCGCCGCTCCCGCTTTTTCGCAGTTTTTTGCAGGAAGAAAGTTTCCATCTGCCCTGGTGGGTTGGTGACGTCATTGGGGGAGAGCAACCCCCTCCCCTGCCGCGGGCTATTTTCGCCACCTGCCGGCCGTGTGATTATTCTCGAGAGGGACAGACTGAGGATCTCTGCATCGCAGCTCTTGATTAGACTCGTGAATATTCACAACGCGACACGTGTTTGGCCAATTCCACTTGCAAATTGCCTGTCAATTATGCAGCAAAACCCGAGTCTGCAGGAAAATTCGAATCTTTTATTACTAAAAACGGGTTTTTTCCATTTTGGATTGTTGAAAGTTTCAGAAAATAAAAAAATTTGGAGTTTTAAATTCTTCAAAAGATTGCAACAATTTCCATTCAGATTATTTTGAATCTCAAAATGTCGGTTTGGAAATTTAAGAAATAAATTTCAGAACGAAATCTCTGAAAGCGTGTTTTGGCGTGACATGGGAACGGACGTGCCGCTCGGACAGAAATGCCGAATGCAAATCTGTTGGCGGGGCAGGAATGCTGTGAGTCGGTTTCGCACGCAACAACACCGAGAGCGAGCTTTGCGCAAAATCGATTCGCAAGTGCGCCGCGACCCTCGACAACAACCGCATTCGCTCTCGCAACATTCAAACGCTGCAAATTCATCATTTTTATTCAAATTCTCCTTCAACAATTCCTTCAAATTTCATTTATTTCCAACACTGAGATGACTTTTGCTTCAAATAAAACAAAAAGTAGCAAGAATGTCCAGAAATTTAAAATATGTGTTGATTTTCCACCAAAATTTGTTATTTTTTTAACATGACAAAATAATTTCCATTTTTGAGAGAATTAAAAAAGGTCTTTCGAATTAGAAATTATGATCGTTATTATTTCAGATAAAAAAAAGCGATTAAAAAATATTCACGTCGTTCTGGGAACTTTTGTCTTGTTCTGTCGCGATTTGGCCGCGACCCAACACGGTCGATTTCGCAGAAACACGAGACGACGTGCATCAAATTTGATTAGTTTAAAGCGACGTTTGTTTATCGCGACCCGTGTGTTTGTCGCTATGCGTCACTCTCCGCGCACAAAACCACATCCGCATCAGGCACAATCCAACAATCGCTCCAAAACTTATCAAAAAATTCATTCGTCCGAATCAGATTTCCGTAAACGAGGTTGAAAGGAAAAAGTTTTTGGTTCAAATTTGAGCAAATTTTAATAATAACAAAATTTATAAATTTAATAAAATTGGTCCTTCTGCCATCTAAGGATGATGAATGATAATATCTTTTCAGTGATCCTAGCCTAGACGCAAAATAAAAAATAATGGAGTCAGAAAAATCAAAATTAGTGAGTTTTTGAAATTTTTTCATCGCCTGACTGAACCAATTTTGATGTTTCCAACGCCAGTATTTTTTATTTTACATTCTTAGGAATTAAAAGTTACAATCATTCATGAACTGGTGAAATTCACTAACTTATCGCATATTTTAAAAATGTCTGGCAAATTTAAACAGTTTTTCACGTAAAGTCAAATATTTTTTAGTATATAAATGAGAAGGATAATTTATTTTCCTTTAAATAAACTTTTGAAATAAAATTTAAATTTCGTATATTTACAAAAAAAAAAATGAAAGGTTTTTGAATAATTTTGTGATTGTTTGCTAAAATAATTAAATTTGGTGATTTTCTTTGGTTTCCGGTCGAGGATGGCAAAAGCGCAAAATGAGATTTGTTCCGCGTCTTCGGAGATTAATCGAGTCGAGGCGCAGCATGTGTGCGGGGTTAATCGTGTTTGCGGCTTAATCGAGTGTCGTCGCCTGCAATTATTCGCGAGCGCCTCGTTGACTTGCATTGTGTTCCGCCCCAAACGCACTCCAACCCCCTCCAACGCTCAAAACCTGCATGATTATCAAATTATGGCGCGAAATTCACAAATTTAGAAGAATAAAGTTTTTTCTTGGCTCTCTGCTTTGACAATATTCATCAAATCTGGACGAATTATTTAATTTCAACACGATTGAAACCGAATAAATATTAAAAATTTACGTTTTCAGTTGAAATTGGCGCGATTTTGTATTAAACTCATGATTTTGCTCCATTTTAACGAAATATTCCGTTCAAATTTTATAGCTTTCATTAAGAAAAGGTAAATTTTTTCTCTTTTACCAGGTTATGGGAAGAATTAAAAAGGATAATAATTTTTAACTTTAGCTCTGACAAAAATAATCATCAAACAATTAAATTATGTATTTTCTGACAATGAATCAATATCAAAAGAGTGACTTTTGCTAAAATAAACGGCCTGATTAACTTCCAAGATAATTAATTCCACTTTATATTAGAATTACTTTTCCAAAAAGCCATCACAAGTAAAATTGAATTCATTCGAAGGGCTGATTTCGTTTTCATAATCTTGCAAAATTTCTGAAATAATTTCTTTTATCTTCCTTGGCCCGACCAAAATTGAAAATTTTCAAGAAATTGTAGTCTATTTTATTACAACCTAGTAATTGGTTTTTACACTTCTAAGCGTTAAACAAAAGTTTTAAAAATTGAAAAAAAGGGAAGCAACTTTTACGAAGAAATTTATAATTTCTTTGTTATGTACAAATATTCGGCTCGTTAGTTCTGTTAATCCTTGTCTTCAGGATGTAATTAAATCGTTCAGACGAGACAATTGGGATTGACTTATTTTTATAGCATTTGAAAAAATTGAACATTTAACTTGACTGATTTAAGACTCGCTTGTAGTGTGATTTTGTTTATTTCTATCGCGCTTTGCTGTGTTTTGTGATAAAGAGTGGTTTTTAAATAATGATTATATTTTTCTAAATCGAGATTTCCGAGGCTTATCTGGAAAAGCCCGACGGAAGTGCGCAGCAATCGAATTAATTAAAACTTGGCCGTTTTTCCTCGTTTAATTTCACTCGACCTGCAAACATGGAAGGCGAGGCCGTTTATCACGAGGTGCCGCTTGATTCGGAGAGAAAAGTCGGTCACAATCAGGATGCCCAAAAGGGTTGAAAAGGGGAAAGCGGAATATCGTTGGCTGTTGATCGCCTTCATTGTCAGCATCGTCTTGCAATTAGTCGCCGTTTTAGCCACCGCCCTACTCGTCTACTTCCTTCTCGAAGCCAAAGTAAGAGAAAAAGAGTTTCAACTTCATAGTTTATAATTAAACTATTTATCCAACGATGCACCTCCATTGAATAGTAAATCCAAATATTGACATTATACTTACATATTATTTCTCAGTAAATTGAAATTGAACACTAAAAAATTACAGGTAACTAACTTGGAAGAGAAGATCGCCGCAAACAACGACCGCTTTCAACAGGTTTGAACCAATTAAATTTTACTTTTACAAAAATGATACAAGCGAATTTAAACCAATTCTTATTCGACTTGGCTAATATTATTTTTGACAAGGTTATCAAAATCTTAACACTTATTTTAACAAAATTTAATATCAATGATAAACCAAATAAAAGACACACTGAAACAATTATTTTGGAACATTCTCAAGAATTTGTTTGAAAAAATTGACACTCGAGGAGATGATAATGGAAATGAAGAGTCGGGCTTTTCCTCGTTGTAAAATTGTTATTATTATTATTTTTTTTTATTATTTTATTATTTTTTGAGCCATTTGTTTTTGAATAACAACAATTTTACTACAAGGAAAATCCCGACTCTTCATTTCCATTCTCAAGAATATTAAATAACAGTAAAGTTTTAATTAAAACTGGATAATTTTCTTAAATTTATTTATTTATGTACCATGAATTAATCTTTGTTCTAAACGACGAAAAAGATGAACGACACGCTGAATAGTCACCGATGCGCCATTGCACGTAAGTTTTTAAAATAAATAGGCTTCAGCTAAAATTTGAGCCGCGCCTCTTGAACAAATTCAATTGAGAGCTTGAATAAATTTGCAGGTTTGAATTCAGCTAAATTGACTCAATTGTCCAACGGAAAGAAATATTTCTTCTCTTATCCAATTTACGTGAGTGATTTCCTTTGTTTGCATTTTCCTCTGAAATCGATACTTTTCGGTAGGTAAATTGGACTGAGGCTGAGAAAAGGTGCAAGCGGATGGGCCTGCACCTGGCCACCCTGAGAAACGAAACCGACCTGAACGCGACCGTGGCAGAAGCAGAGAAAAGGGCCAGTCATGGTAAGAAATAAATAGCACTTTGAAAATTGAATCCGAATTTGCAAAGATTTGATTCTTGTTTCGAGACTTGATCTTCTGAAAATCAATCTGATTTCAGGGTTTGGTTGGTGGTTATCTGCCAAAAATTACGGCAACGAAGGAAAATACGACGTTCGCTGGCACGACGGCTCAGAGTTGGAGCAAAACAGCACCTTGTGGAGGGCCAATGCTGACAAACTCACGGGCTGCGTCTATTTCTACACTAATTACACCGAAAAATTGAACGGCTGGTCGTGCAGTCACAGATTAGATTTCATTTGCGAATTGCCAAGCGAATGTTACTGAAATCAGACATTTGTTGATTTGATTATCAATTAACACTCGGCATATCTGAAGTCAAAATTTTTTTAAAGTTTTTTCGAAAGAAACTGCAATGACTTTGAGAAAGTTTGCAATTGTGGCATCAAATCCACTAAATTACTGAATTTGAATCAATTATAATATTTCTAAACTTTGGCGCAACATAAGATTATTGAAATTAAATATCTTTCATTCATATTACTTATAATGAGTTTATATTTAATTTAATTGATCAAATATAAATTGTATTTATTTCATAAGTTTCATAAACTGAAAATACAAAAATAAAATTACATTAGTAGACTTAACAAAAAAAATTGTATTTGATAATTTAACCTGCAATTGCTGATTATATTCTTAATTACAATATTGTGTGCGAATATATTAATGTGTTACAATTCGTTTTAATATAAGTTTAAATATTTCAATAAAGAAGAAAATATTCATTAATTGTTTTGTGCAAATTCTTTAATTAGGGCTTTATTTATTCAAACCCTTTCCTGTTTTCACTTATTCAGGAATAAAAAAATTAATTATAACACATTATTTATAATTTTGTTTAAAATTGAAGTTGCATTTTGAAGCGAAACAAAAATGAAATTGTCTGGCGCTGAATTAATGTATTTTGAAGAGAATAATAAAAAAGCTGTTGGGGTGGATGTTGAATTCAAACAAGTCCTCGGAGGAAAGAGCGGCGCGTGTAATTCGCACGGAACGACGCAAAAATGAACACACAGAGCGACAGAGACAATTACAAGCGAAGGCCGCGCCTATTCCCTCGTCAAATCAAAAAGCAAAAGTTTAAAAATTACGGAAAAAGAGTTTCCATTGCTGTGCGGATTGAATTGAATCAAGAAATTTTGCACAAGAACAATCAATATCAAAAAATAAATATTATGTCATCAAAATCTGGACGTTTCTGAACTTAAAAAATATCCAACTGAAAAAAAGGTAATTAATTTGTAAATCTGGCAAGAAATTATCTTTTATTCTAAATTTTTAATCATAATTTCAGTGGTTTTTGTGCAAAAATTTGTATAAAATCTTTGATTAAAAACCTGATCCAGAAATCGTGTTCACATCTTTTCTTGCGAGATAAGTTTGGCGTGAGATTGGATTGTTTCCTCATCCCTGTTTATCGACTCCATAAAGCTGAAGGGAGCGGCAATAAAATTACCTTGCAAAAGTGGCCTCTTTTTCGCCGCCGCTTCCACTCACAAGCAAACACATTATACGTCAAAACCTCCAGTCACCGGTTTCATAATAATAAGAAAAAGTGGAAATATTTGAATAAAATTCAATTTCTTCAGTTATTTCTGATTCAAAATAAGAAATTTGATTGACGAAAATATCCATTTCAAATATTAAAATACTATAAAAATTTGTAATTAGGAAATTTATCAAACTATCCTTTTGATTCAAGTTATTGTTAATTTGAATTTCTGAAATAAATATTACAAATTTTTCCAACATTTGTTCCGAATATCAAAGAAAAACGTTTCATGCAAATGGAAATTAATACAAATTTGTTCTGTAATCCTGATTTGAAAGGGAATTAATTTGATTTCAAGTTCACCAATTTTTTTTTTAAATCAATGGTAAAATTTATCATCAACCCCCCCCCCCCCAATTAAGGTGTGAATTATGTTTCAAAAATTTAACACATTCTAGAGTTTCGACTCTATCATTAGAACTTAATTAAAACGAGTTTCCTTGTCACATTTGCTGTTTGCGGTGTCACTGCGTGGGGGTTGAACGCACCCTTTCATCCCCCGCGTCAAATCTTTGCTTCCTCTGACGCAAATCGTGGCGGTTTTCCTTTTGCACCGACTTTTCAAAAGCACACGCGACGAAATACGAGTTCGAGTTTGATTCGCTTTCACTTTTTATCAGCCCAATCTTGAATCTGCTGACGTGATTCGGATAAAAATTATTCAAATGTGCAGCCAGAAAATTGACGTAAATATTTTTCATTCACAAAAATGAGTATTTCAGGAATAAAATTCCAATCTGAAAAGATTTCTGAACGCAAATAAAATCTATTAAATTTTCAAGCTTTAAAAATTTAAAAAGGGTGAAAAGTTTTAGTTGAATTTTGATTTTCTTTCAAGCGGAGTAAAATTAAAATGGACTAAAAAATTGATTTATAATAAAAAAACTGGAAATATCTGAAGAAACAAAACAAATTACAAAATATAATTAAATAAAAATGTGAACATTTTCATTTCAAAATCAATAACAGTTTATTTCTTATATTATTCTCACAATTTTTATGAATTTTTTTATAGGAAATGTCATTAAATTCTTAACTAAAGGACTCGAAATTCACCTTTTTTTAAAGCAATTAAAGTTTGAAATTAAATTCGTGGTTGGACAAAGTGAGTGCGTCTCGCGTCGTCAATTGGTTGTGCAAATTTGAGGCCGCATTGCAGAGTGGCTCGGCGAGCACACAATGCGGCCGAGGGTCAAGGACGCGCGCACATCAAAGGGCAGCGAGCCGAGTGCAGGTGCCACCCCCTTCCACCCCCGACCACCCTCTCGGCCACTCGTCGCCCAGAGTGCTCGCAATTAACACTCGTTACTCTTCCTTTGTTGCTTTGCAATAAAAAATTAAAAAAAAAACCATGACAGACCAAAACTCATTCTTGGCGCTGAATTTCGGCAGCAAAAATTTTAATTTATGAGCAATTTTTCAAACAAACCTTTCAATTTATATTTTTAAATCTAAATAATATTACCAAATTTTATATTTAAAGCAGAAATTCGTTTGAAAATTTGTTAATTTTCTGGAAAAATGATCGCCTGATAAATTTAGAAAGAGAATTAGGTTGAGTGGGAAAGACTATTGAATTGATTGCAATCAATAATTCTGCAAAATTTTTTTCAGTTTTCTTCAGGTGAAGCCGTATTTGAATTTAAATGACGATATTTTAGAACATTTTAAACCTTCAAATGCCTCTGATCATATAAAATTTCTTCTTCATGACAAATGATTTAAAAAAGTTCAGTGATTTCCTTTTAGAAGGAAGAAAATTGTTATAATTTGATCTTCTTTTTTCGGTTTTGCGGAAAGACAGTTTTTGGCAGCGCTCGAGAGTAGGTCAGGTTTTGCAAAGGTCACAATGAAGTGGTTCTGGGAATGCCGGCGATTGCGCATTCGCCCTTTTGCTCCCCTGTGAAAAATCGCGGGCTAAAAATAGCCGCGCCATCTCTGAGCCACTTTGTCCTGCGATCAATCAATACGGAACCGCGGAAAATCACGTCGCAATTCAACCGACGCAGGCTCCATTCCTACTCTGATCAAAGAGTGGAAAAACCTTTTGCCAATTTCCCCTGGGATGAAAATACAGAAAAAAAACCTTTTAAAATTATAGAAGCTGATGGACCTTTTTCAAAAAATTATCTTATAATTTAAATTCAATTATAAAAATCAAGCCGTATTTCTTGAGAATTTCAATCATCTTGTTCTTCTATAAATGAAATTTGTGCCTCACATTTTGAAAACTACAAATTTTTGTACTTCACTTGCGAATTATTTTATATTATGAACCATTATGATTCCAGATTGATTTTATGATTTTGTTTCTTCAGCAAATTTATATCAATTCATTTATGACTTTGTAGAAAAGAATCTGTTTGAGTGGAAATTCTGTTGAATTAATTTTATATTTTGAAAAATTTCAAAGAAAATTGCTCCCATTGAGAGGTGAAAATTGAGCAGTTTTCGAGTTCAAAACCTAAAATATCCATAGATTTTGGCTTGAAAACAAAAGGCTTTGAAAGTTAGGAAGAAAAAATGTAAAGTTTCGTGTTTTGTTTGTTGGCCGAGGTGGCGATGTCAGTGCAGAAGCAGCGAGATATGTTGACACAAGGTGAGACGCCGAGGTACACACACGAACGAAAAGGGCGATAAAAGATAAGGGTGACTAAGTGACACCCTTGCCCACTTGATTCTCTTCCAAACACACCAAACACCACTGCCCGTATCGATTGCAAACTAAACAATTCAAACCATGCCAAAATACAGCGACTGAATGTTTATTTTTTTTACTTGTTAGTCGCACATTTGAATTTGGAACAAAATTTTGTTCTCTTTTTTCAAAATTAATTGGTAATTTAAAACAATTGAAAATGGAAAAATGTTAATTTTAAAGATCCTCTCCGGTCATTTGTATTGCTCTTTATTCTGAAGATTGCTAAATTTCGAGTATATCTTGTGAAAACACTATTTACAAATTCCAAACCGTTGCGTCTCAATCAAGAGAAAACCTAAATACAAGTGATTCGCGCGAAAAATATGTGAGAATTGAGGAGCCAATCAGATTCATCAGTTTTTTACAAAAACTACAGAATTTGGTCACATCGGCGCTGCGATCGCTGATTTTGCCAAGTTTTCTGCAGCGCCGCGGGGCATTAGTGGCAAAATCAGCGATCGCAGCGCCAATGTGACCAAATCCTGAAGTTTTTGGATTGATGGATCTGATTGGCAACTCAATTCTCACGTTTTTCGCGCAAATCACTCATATTTAGTTTTTCTTTTGATTGCGACGCAACCGTTTGGAATTTTCACACAATCTTTTCACAAGATATACTCGAAATTTAGCAATCTTCAGAATTAAGAGCAATACAAATGACCGGAGAGGATCTTTAAGCAAGAACACTAATATTTCTAAACAAAATGGTTGCAATTTGAGTCTAAATCTTTGCAGCTTTTACATTTTAATATCCAAAAGAAATGCAAATAATTCTTTATGAAGGAAAAAGAACTCAATTTAGAATAAAATTCTATATTGTTTTTTTTTAAATTTACTCAAATTTTTGCAAGCTTCACGAGTTTGCCAGTCTGGATTAAGGTGAAGCCGCACAAAGTTGTGAATCCCTTTTTCCACGAGGGTGGACGCAGCTCTTTGTTGTTTGCACAAAGGCGAGGAGTCAATCAAGGGAGGGACGGACACGCCAGCCGCCGATCAAAGTTTTAATAAAGCTGGCACGGCGCATTACCATATTTCGCCCCCTCACGTGATCACCCCTTTTTAACAACCCCGGTCGCCTTTCTGACCAACAAAACTTTCTTGTTTAGGCAAAAACACTCTCAAAAATAACAATCCCCATAAAAAGGAGAAAATATTCAAGTATTCTGCTTTTTCAACAATTTTTTTCCAGAATTTATTGCATAACAAAAAGAAGTTTCTAGAACGAATTTTTTGGTCAAAACTTTGGAAATATTTTTCGAGCCTTTCGGAGAGAGCAAAGTTTTAAGAGGGGGATGATAAGAAGGGTGCGTTAAAAGCTCCCTCGTGGCGTTAAATTAGAGGCCGGTCTCGCCCCCGCCGCCGCACCCTGTCATTCAAATTCGCCCCCGACACTTGCAAATCACAAGAGTCTCGTTTTCAGCTCGAGTTGCCTTATTTTCTTTGGTTTGTAATTTTGAAACGTTTTATGAGAGAAAAATGCAAATTTCGCAACCATAAAGAAAACATTAAACATGAAAAGAGCAGAATTTTATCATGTTTCATCTGACATAACAAAAAATTGGAATTTTTCAAATAAATTTATGACATTTCAAAGGAAAACATTTGTTTTTAACGTACTAAAGTTTTCTTTTTCAATTGGATTTCAAAATACTAAGAGCAGCATGAAAATATTTGAAATTTAGATGAATTTCTTGTCGATTTTTTCATATGATTCTCATTACTTATTAAAACACATAATAACTGTTAATTGAAGAAGAATTTCAGATTTAAAAATCAGAATAATTTTAGATTGGCTAAAAGGAAACAAGAATTAAATGATTTCCATTTGGAATCGGTAGAAAGAAAATTATTCAAAAGGAAACGTGATTATGAGTAATTTTCAGAATATTAACTTTATTCTAATTAAGTTCTGATTCAATTAATTATTTTTCGTTTTGCTTTTCAATTATGTTGAAGGTAATTTTTACCCATTTATTATTTCAATTTATAGAGAATATCTTTTTAAACTCATTTATTGAAACATTGATATTTTAAAATCATTTGACATTTTCCCATCTATTATTTTTCCAAATTTCATAAAATCTATCGAGAAGGTCCGTCCATAATTATCATTTTCCTTTTCCAGCGGAAACGGCGATAAATTTTGATAAACATCGCAGTCAAGAAAAACAAGATTTTCGCTCTATATTTTTTCGCTCGTAAAAGGCGACGATCGCGGCTCTTTCAGATTAAGCGCATTTGATCTCTGCATCGGAATCAATTGGTCACGTGACGTGCAATCGTTGCTTATCGACGGCGAGAGAGGAATCAATCGCGTGTCAACTGCAGACAGACCGTGTTGTTGTTTGGTCGCGCCACAAATGAGACAGAAAAAGCAGAAAAAAAGCACGTTGAATTTGCTCAGAGACTTTTGCTGAAAATGTCCATTTTATTTAATATTAACTTCATTCAAAAGATTATTCTAAAAATTTGCATCTCATTCTCAAAATGTGAATCCAAAAAGCTGTTTTTACTGAAAGAATTTTGTTCAAAATAGAATTCTTATTTGTTTCCATTTGAAATAGTAGTTTTTTTTGTAAAAATCCTGTCACCACCAAAATATACAAAGACTTCGAATTGAATTTAAAAAAAGTTACCTTATTTTAGAGGAAAAAAAGAATAATTCTTTTACCAAAAACAAAAATGTTTTGCATTTGATTTGCATCGACCTTGTTGCATGATTGATGGAAGAAGCGCTTCCTGTTTGCTGTGGAAATCTCCAAAGTTATTGAACACATGGGCGGGTCAAGCAAACACAACTCAATAATAACTTTGATTAAATCCATAAAACATAAAATCAATTCGACGTGGTTTCTTCTGCAGTCAATTATGGGAAAAATAAACAAGTTTAATTGTTTTTAGTAAATTAAGCAACAAGAACAATGGTTTATATTTTTACTGTTTAATAATTTGGGAACTTTTGAAAATGAGATAATATTACAAAAGGCAAATTTGTTCAAAACACGAAAAAAAAAATCGTTGAAATTTTGCTATTTAATCTGTAATTTTTTATATAATTATTTATAGTCTAGTGAAAAGGTCTTTTCAACTTTGTATATTTGCACGTATCTTTCCGAATTTGAAATCTTTCAGATTAAAACGAACTTTTTTAAACTTTTTTGGACAGAAAAAAATGATAAATGTGGTGCTATTATCGTTAAATTTCTGTATTGTTTGACACTTTATAAATTTAAAATTTCGTTTCCGTTTCCCATTATTTGATGCAAAACTCACCCAAAATTTGATTGAAAAATGACTCTTGCGATTATTTCTCTAAATATCAGTGACGGTTTTTACCGTTTCACTTTACTAGTTTTCAAATAATAAATTTTGACCTAAAAAGTCTTTGGAAAGCAAAAAAAGGGGGATATTTTGCATCATCCACCATAATTTTGAAAAACTGACAAAAAGTTCCACACTTTAGAAAAGAACTTTTTCCAAATTGTCTCAGTGTGTCACGTAATTTAATTTAATTTTAAAATTTTTGGTGGTGCTCTTACGATTTTGTGGTTGAGGTGGGCGAGTTCTCGTTCGGTGACCTTCCTGCGGGTCTGTTCCTGCTGCTGGCGCTTGTACTGGTTGTACTTGTAGAAAAGGTACATGCCTGGCAGCGCGAGCACCACGAACGGCTTGATCAGGGCCGACGTGGCCAGGTTGCGCGGCATTTCGCTGCAGGGGGCGCCGCCCGCACCCTTGCTCGCACCCTCGCTCGCACCCCTGACCCTGCCTGCACTGCAGACCCGACCGACGCCAGACCACGACTGCCGCCGATAGTAGTACCGATCCGGCCCGGCGACGTCGCCGACCGCCTCCCCCCGCCCCGCCCCCTCCCTCCCCAAAACCTACCCCCGCTGCCGCCGACACACACGCAATACAACATTCGCACCAAAAATCGCCAAATCAACACAAAGAATAATTCAGCAAAAGTTTCAAAATTCGAATTTTCTTCGGTTCAAAACTTAACTTAAACTTTCTACAGGATTTTATTGAAAAAAAAATGCAAATAAATTGGGGAAAAGAAAAATGCGATCATAAGAAATAATTAACTAAACAAGAAGATTCTGAATATATGAAATTTTTAAATTAATTATTTTTATTTATTAAATTAAATTTTTAATTTTTTCTGCCTTGACAATTTGTGTTCATGTAATAATGTTTGTAAAAAACGCAAATTTTTTTCAAACAACTGAAGCAAAGGGTTTGATTATTAAAGACAGATTTATATAGAAAATTTTTATATTACTTATCAAAACATATGAAGAATATAATTTAATTCCTAACTGTGGGAAAATATATTTTACCATATTTAGATCTTTTAATACACTGATTTTAGATTGAATGATTTTATAGCTACTCAATTATTAACAAATTTTATACGCATGCATAGTAACTTTTTAATTTGTTTAACTTGTTAATTTTTAATTGATTGCATCAAATGCAATTTTAAGAATGTTTGGATTGAAAAATCCAGGGTATTTCAGGAATATTCAAAGCAATTCAACAAGTGAATTGATTTATTTCCAATATTCTTTCAATATTTCTCAGGATAAGTCTCAAAATATTTTAAACTTTAATTCAAAAATTCATTGTTAGTCACCTATTTTCATTGTCAATGAACAAATTTACGAAGTTGAAAATAAATTTGTGAGCGTTTAATGCAAACTGAAATAATGAATACGCTCCCTTAAGGCAATATTTAAAGCCAAAAACCGAAATGTTTAAATTAATGTCAAGATATTATAACTTTCTGTATAGGTTCTTGAAGTTGTTGTTGTGGAACCTTTTGGCCAGGTAGAAAATTTCACCCTCCTCCCCCTGAATAATAAAGCAAACCATTCCATTTTTAAATCCTCAAATCAGTTTCGTTTCGTCTTCCGACGAGAAAAGAGGTACGCACTTTTTTCACACATTTCACAATTTAATGAGTTTTGTCGAATTTGCTTGGAAATTTTATTCTCAAAATTAAATTAATTCCAATATTCTGTATTTTAAAACTAGGGAGAAAAATATTGAAATTTAATTTTTAAAAAATTTTTTGAATATAATTTGCATGTTAATTTTTCAAAATATGTAATTAAAATTGGTTAAATGTCAGCTTATTTCATTTCAACAGCTCATGAATTAGGGTTGCAACCCGCAACCGAAACTAGTAGAGCAGGGATTTTCTGTACCATGCAGAAACAATAAAGTTGCTCATCTCCACCGAGGAAGCCGGATTTTATTTCAAAAAATATTATAACTTAATTCAATTTTTGTTAATTTCCTCTCTGCTTTTTAAATTTCATTCTTTTTTCAAATGTTTAAATTTTTGGCAAATTAGATATCAACTGAAGAGAGCTGTGAATTATTGACTCGAAGTAAGTTAACAAAAAACAATCTTAAATCTTATCAAAAAGATGCTTATAAAGAAAACCTTCAATTGTCTTTAACCCCGATTTTGGATTCTTATTCAAAACTCTTCTTCTTTGCAACTTTTTGTGCCTTTCTGCAAAAACTTTCTTATCCGCCTGGAAAGAGAGTCTATAAATAAAACGCTTACAACAATTGTACGTTTTCGCTCGGCCAAAGATAAAAGTCACGACCAGTTTGCCTCCAATATTGATCCTCGCGTTCAGAGGACGAAAAAAAACTTTTACTGCGGAAATAGCAAAAAAAGTGATTTGAGGAAGAAGAAGAAAAGTCGGAAATGCGTCGCAGCTGCTTTTGAAGGTCGAATCGGGACGCAAATGAGAAACTGCGGCAGAAAACGGGAAAGAGACTGACCGACCCAGTCGATAGCAATTTGTAATTCAAAGCGGCAAATCACCTTTCTCGAGTCACGTCGTCGCGCATCACCCAAAAGTACGAGAAAAAAAACGTAATTGGCCAGAAAGAGTCACTCTGATTTGTTAATTAACTTTCTAGTTCAATTTTTCCGCAGTTACAAAATAAAATATAGAAAAATAATGCTTATGAAAATATTATTTTCCATTTTTACTCTAAAAAGACTCTCTGGAATTTTCTTTTTATAAACAAATGCTGACTTTTTATGTGCAAATTTGCGTTGCAATGCAAGAATCATTACTATCACGACACAAATATTTCTTTTAAAGGACGATAATTGTATCATAATTAAAAATTAATATAAACGTTTTATAATTTATCAAAAATTGAAGTTTAGGATGTATTTGCGAAATGACTCTGTTGGAATTTCTTCTCTTTTGGGATGCAGCGGAATGATTCTCGTGTGCATCTCTGTGTCGGCGCGGCCAAAACAAGGGACGATAAAATCACACACACAGGGGTGGTGACGTCAGCAGTGACGTCACCGGTGCACGTCACCCCGGATCAATATTGCGAGTGGGTTGCGCGCGAGCATCTGCGATCGCCTCTTTTCTCGCGCATCACAAATTCCGACAAATTCATAATCCAAAGGGAAATTTCACTGAATAAATTTTTAATAAAATTAGTTAAATTTTATTAAATTTGGGGAAATTTATTGAATTTTAATATGTAAATTTTGCGTCTTTGACTTTTTTAAGAGGAAACTTTTTACAAGTATGGACTAATTTGTAATTTTGTACGCAAAAAACAGATTTGTTTGTTGAAATATGATTGACTTTTCATTAAATACTTAATTAATTAATCTTTATCCGAATAACTTTTTATTTCACAAAGATGTATTTTGATTAGAAGTTTATTTCGAGCCTTTTTTTTAAAAGATTTGCGCAAAAAGTATTTAAAAGTGAAATTATAATTATTCACTAAAATATCTATCAATTCTTGAAATAATTGGATACATATTTTTATTTCAATGGTAATTTATTGTGTGCCATTTCAATTGAATTCTTGATAGCTTAAACGAATGTAAGACGGTTCTGGAAGGCGCAATTTGACCCTTTGTGTTCGTATCAGCAAAGATGAGGTCAAAGGACGACCCCGATTCGAACGGCGGCGAGACGCGGATCAAATAAGCAGAGTGCGATGGAAGAGCCGACGGTGTGGATGTTGCTCGGCCTGCTCGCCCTCGGCCACGCCGAAGTGGACACCAAGGCGAGAAACTCAACTCCAAAAAACACGCAATTATTAAATCCAAAATCATTTGAAATAATTCTAATTATATTTTTAAAAAATCTATAATTGAAATGGAATTTTTCAATTTAAAAAGAGAATTTTAATTAATTAATTCATGAAAGAAACAAGAAAAAATTCAAAGATTTGAATAGAATAAAATTTAAATTAAACTTTTCTTTTTGGCCAGAGAGAATTGCGAATTAAAATGTAATGAAATCGTTGGGAAAATTAAGGAGTGCCAGAGAGACAACGAGACGGAATTGCTGCAGAAAAGCGTCCTCGAGAACAGACAAATCTTGGAAGATTTGGCCAAACAGGTTTAAAATTAGGTTGCAAAGTCTCAATTGAAATCAATGAATAATTATCTTTCAGTTGGAAACCGTCAAAAGATACCAGAGGTGTTTATTTCTCAGCAGTGAGTTCACCTTCCATTTTTTTCCTTCATTTTAAAGTTTTTTTTAATTATTGCAAAGATTTTCATTTTATTTAGAATTTAGTTAGACCAAAATATTTTGGAATTTCCCTAATACTTAAATTTTAAATATCTCTGTTCAGGTATAAATTTAACTATTTTTCTATTTATTTTATGAATTTTCAGCATTTCTAAAACGCTGATTGTGAATAAAAAATTTGAAAAATTTGAACTTCTTATGTCAAATTACATGACATATCGTTTGGATATCTCAGATTTTTCGTCAGGTTGCATATTTGCAATTTCTCATGTTGACCTTTGGCCAGGTTGAAAGACCTTTGACCTTGAAACTTGTTCATCTTAAAAATATATATACCGTATTTCATTAGCTCCAAATCAATACTTCTCTGACTAAAAAAATATTGCGAGTGTTTTGATTTTCGACAGAACTTTTAGCAAACCCCCTTATGATATGAGTCATTGGCCGCCATTAAGAATTTAGTTATTTTCGCAGAAAAAGGTTTAAATTAAATCAGTTAGAGAAATCATATATCATAAAATTGTTACTTAATATTTTATTTTTTTTAAAAATGATTATTTTCTCGATCCCAAGAAAACCACGTTTTTTCAATCTTCAAGTGCAATTTTCTAAAAAAAAAAAAAAAAACAACACAGTGATTCTTAACATCTGGTCATAAATTGATAGCCAAGATCAGTGAATTTTTTGGTGCGTAACTTAACCATTTAATTTAATTTTAGTCCGATAAACTGATTAACGAAAAAATTCTAAAGCAGATTTTTTTTATATCTAACTAAGATTTTCGGCCGTTACCAAAATGATCCATGCTAACATTTCTAAGACGACTGCAAATAGAATAAAAAATTTAAAATTCCACAGGTTTGACGACGACGACGCTGGGCAACGGAAAAAAGTACTTTTTCTCCTTCCCGAGCCAAGTGGGTGTTTTTTTTTTTGTTTAAAAATTGAATTACCAAAATAAGACAATTCATAAATTTCAAGGTGAACTGGACGACGGCGAACGCGACCTGCTGGCGGATGGGGCTGCATCTGGCCACGTTCACGGACATCATCGACCAGAAGGTCGTTTACGCCGAGGCCAAACGAATGCACCCTTGTGAGTGAATTTCATTTTTTATATTTTGTAAATTTTGGTTTTGTTCAGCGTCGTACTGGTGGTTGTCGGGCCGGAAGCGGCAGAACAACGAGTTTCGGTGGCACGACGAGAGCCGGCTGGAGAAAAACAGCCCCTTCTGGCGCAGCTCC